AACTTTCAAGATGCTTATCTTCGGATTATGTTTTGTATTATATTTTTTGAAATTGTCGGCTGGTATTGGTTATTGATAAACATGCCCCACTTAAAAAGAAACGTATAGGCCAGAAACGAAAGTCTCCCTGGATTACTTCACATGTAGTTCAGAAAATTCGCGAAGGCAATTCGATATTACACGTGACGATGAAATTTGTGTACAATATAAGAAAGCATGCAGTCGAAACGAAACTAACAACACTGTTAGGCAGGTTAAACTTAACTATTTTATCACTAATATTGAGGCTGCACGAAAAGATCCAAGGAAAACTTGGAGACTAGTCAGTACGATCTGAACTCTCGTAAAGTGTGTGATGTAACCAGTGTCAAGAAAGTCAATCTTGACGGTAATGAAATCACTAATGCGGCTGAAATTTCGGATGCCTTTAATTCATATTTTACCTCGATAGGAGAGAAACTTGCGAACAAAATACCTAGCTCTAATGTTAATCCCGTCTCTTATATTCAATCCACAAATACTGTATTTTCTTTCGGGGAAATTGGTTTGTGTGTAAATTGTTTGCTTAAAACGATTAATGCTAACAAAGCTACCGGCCCTGATAAAATATCAGGTAGATTATTGAAAATAGCCGCTGATATTCTTTCACCCTCGTTAACTAAAATTTTTAATAGATCACTTTCTAAGGGGATTTATCCGACTGATTGGAAAATGGCAAAAGTCTTACCTATGTTCAAAAATGGCGAAAAATGTGATCTAAGTAATTATCGTCCCATTTCAATTATATCGGCGGTTGCCAAAGTTTTTGGTATAGAACCGTTCCGTTTATGATCAATTTTACTCCTATCTGACAAGTAACAACTTACTGTCGAACGTACTATCGAGTTTGTTGGTTAACCGAGTCAAATCCGAGTCCGAGTCAAATGTCCGAGTCATTGTTTAATCGATGGTCTTTGCAGTTCAATGACTTAATTAGTACCCTAATCCAGAGTTTGTAGGTTACTGACCGACTCAAATCCAAGTTCGAGACAAATGTCCGAGTTACTGTTTAACTGTCTTTGTCGGCTTAGTACCCTAACCCTAAACCTACTCCTAACCCTATTCGACTGTATAACAAACGTACTTGCAGGGAGGTGAGTCCGGGATTGGACGCACCGAGGGTGGCTGGAAATTTCCCGAAATTACCGAGCGAAGCGAGGTGAGTTCGGGAAACTTCCAGCCACCCGAGGTGCGTCCAATCCCGGACTCACCGAACCTGCAAGTACGTTTGGTTTTTATCCCATACACCGAGCCATACACACATTTGTAGCTCTTCGCGATATATTCGTCGATGTTTTGTGAACATTTTCCCGGCCAAAAAAATCACTGGGCAAGAAAATACTTCTTTATCTACGTCTACAATACCTTTACTGCACTTTTTCTTTGGTTTTTCTTCAGTCTCAGTATGTTAGTCACCGAAAAAAGTTCTTTAAAGTTTAGGTTTATCGGCTAAATCTTGTCCGCCATATTTGTTATTGTTATTGCAACGTAAGCAGTTTAGCGGGTGAGCTCGGGCGAAAAGCAGGTGAGCTCGACGACAAGCTCACCTGCTCTAAACCAATCAGAAAGCCGCTTTTAACACAGGTATGGGATAATGAATTTTATTCACTTTCGTCTTTTCTTATGCGACTCGGGCATTTGACTCGGGCTCGGGACTGACTCGGACTCGGATTTGACTCGGTAAATGGATTTACTCTCGAACTATCAGTCCGGGTTTCGAGCATCATATAGTACCGTTACAGCTTTATTATAGAGTCGACTAATAACTGGTGCGTAAATATTGATATGGGTTTGCTTAACGGAGTGGTTTTCATTGACCTAAATAAAGCTTTCGATACAATTGATCACGAAATTCTTATACGTAAACTCAAGTGTTATGGTGTTGATTACAATGCGCTATCGTGGTTTAATTCCTATTTAAACAATCAAAAACAGAAATGCTACGTAACGGAGTTCCCATGACGGAGTTCCGCAGGGCTCTATTATAGGCCCACTTTTGTTTTTAATCTATATCATTGACTTGCCTAACTGCTTGAACGAGGGTTTACCTAGAATGTTTGCTGATGATACGAACATCGGCATGCAAAGTAATAATCTTTCTCAGAGCTAGAAAATCTTATAATGCCGAAATAGCCAATATATACACATGGCTAGAGGCAAATAAGTTAAGTTTAAATATTGCCAAGACTGAATTTATGGTTATTGGATCTCGACAAAGACTTTCAACCTTTCATAATCAGAATGTGGAAGTATGTATTAATAATAAACAGATTAATAGAGTGATGAAGTCTAAATCATTGGGTTTAACAATTGACGAGAACTTGACTTGGAAATATCATGTTGATAATATCACGAAAAAAGTTTCTTCGGATATCGGCGCTCTCAAACGAATGAGAGATTTTATTACCAAGGAAACTGCAATTCGAGTTTACCAAAGTTTGGTGGAGCCCTATTTTTCGTATTGTGCCCCTGTTTGGGATGACCCATGCATAGGTAAAAAGCAAAGCGAAAAATTACAAAAATTACAGAATAGGGCCGCCCGTGTTATTACTCGTTCATCTTATGATATTTCATCAAGTTCTCATCTTGAAGAACTCAATTGAGAATCATTGTCCACTAAGCGATTAAAGCAAAAGGCAATCCTCATGTTTAATACTGTTAACAAACATACACCATTCTATTTACAAGAGATGTTTTCACCGGCCTAGTGAGAATGTTTATAACCTGAGAGATCCTTATGGTAAACTCTATACCAAGAACATTTTCGTTCCGCAGCAAACCCGAAAGCAAAGTCCTATAAAAACATGGCTTTCTCGAAACACTACCTCGACCAACATTACGGACAAAAACCTAAACTGTCTGTTAAGATTTTAAAAAGAACAAAAGGATCTGTAGAACGGAAAATTACCGAAGCATTATTCATCCAAAAGCTTAATCCAGACTTGAATGGAAAATACGAACAGTTAAATGTCTTAGATTTCGTAGTTTAAACATTAAAGACAGAATTAACAATTTCTAATTTTTATTAGAATTAATCGGACACGTGCACGTAATTTATATGCTTACGCAATTTCGCACGCGCGAATAACGGTCGCAATTTTAACGTTTATGCATGCGCATGTTAGTTTAAATTCAAATTGTAATCCTACCTGAAGATGGAGTAAATCTCCGAAACGTCGTTTGTTAATGAAATAAACATTTAAAAAAGTCTTACTGTGGTCTATATATTGAACACAAAAAAGTAAACTCTATGTCCCAAAACCAAGTACAGATTATTTGAAACGCTCCTCCACGTTACAGTGGAGCCTCCTTATGGACTGATGGCCTGCCTGAATCTCTTAGATCAGTAACCTTTCTCGCTGCTTTTAAGACAGGTTTAGAAGCCTTCTTAATAAATAATCGATCTGACTCCCACACGGCAATCAGGTAGAACAGTATCTAAATTTCTTTGGCTCCTTTTTAATATATTTTAATATTTTTGTAAATAATTATACTGATGATTCTCCATGTTTAAATAAAGTTGATGTATGTATGTATGTTGTGAAAACTCGGAATACCGGAATATCACGGAATATGGCGGAATATCCGACATTTTCCCGGAATATACGATATTAGCTATTTTGTTACAAAAGTGATGGATCTTTCCCATTTTGACGGTAAGTAACAAACAATAACTGGAAGTTTTATATGTTGTTTATATCATTATTATTACGAGTGTTCACCAAAAATTTTGAATCAATACGATTAATTCCTTCTCAGTTTTTTTTTGTTTGTTAAACTTTATTGAGCACAAATTAATTCAACAAATATTCATCTAACATACAATTAAAGAGTTGTACTCAAACGGACAAGGCACAAACTGGACGTAAAGTCCATTGCATGGTGCCCCTCCTCTTCCTAACATAAACCTTTTAATTCACAGTATACTGTACAGGGTGTCCCAAAAAACCCAAAACCACTGAAACAACGCACTGCCAGAATTCGAACGCCCCAGCACCAACTGAACGCCGCAAAGATACGTAAATATTATCGACATGATGCATATAATATGAGTATTGAAGAAATTAAAATATCTTTGTAAGCTCACGATTATCTGCTCTTCGGAATTTAAAGCAACTTCCTAAACAGTTTCTTTATTCGTAAAATTTACTTTTGTCAAGCTTTTATGCACTTATGGGTTCAGCAGAGTGCTAAGGCAATTCAATTCCCAAGCAACACGCTATCTCGACAGCTTTGGTCCCCTCTGGGGCACCCTGTATAACATATTTACTTAATAAATATTAATACTATGCATGCACATTAATTTGATTAGTTAAGTTAGTTTATTATTTGTGACAACCACAATCACGTTCAAGTGACCAGGTGCAAGTCATGTCCGGATCAAATACCGTTTCCAGAATATTCTTATACCTCATCATGAGGTATAGTTTGAAAGACGATGGCGATGTAAAACTGGAAGGATCAATCGAGACAGAAACACTGTTCCATAATTTGACAATACGATTAAAATACGACGAACTGTACGTACAAGTTTTACACAACGGAGTTTCTAAGTATTTGGATCTCAATGCTCTACGTGTCCGTCCATGCATGATTGTCAAAGTTAACAAAATTTGAGACATCAATGTCAATATATCCGTTCACAGCCTTATAAAAAAATACTAAGTCTTTGACCTCGCGATCGTACGCAAGAGGGAGCATATCCAGTTGCTGAAGTCTCTCTTTGTAGGATAGTTCACCGGCAAGATCCATCTCGTAGCACGTCTCTGAATCTTCTCAGCCTTTTGTTTCAATAAGGAACTTGCTGGAGACCAAACCTCAGTCGCATAACTTAACTTGGACCTAACCAACGTCAAATAGAGAGTCTTTCGAACACTACTGTCAATAATTGAAATACATGTTCGCTTTAATAGACCGAGTAATTTGTTAGCTTTCGCACAAATGCAGGTAAGATGTGATTCCTATGACAAATTCTCGGTAATGATCACCCCGAGATCTTTTTCTTCGTTTACTCGAAGTAACTTGGTAGAATCCATATGGTACTGAAAATGTAATGGATTGACCTTGCGTGTTATGGACAGAACTTTGCACTTTGACGCATTAAAGTTCATGTTATTTTGATAACTCCAAGAACTAAGTTCTGTTAAAGCGTCTTGTAATTTCTCACAGTCACCGATAGTTGATACGTTCCTGTAGAGTTTGGTGTCATCTGCATAAAGTCTTGTAGAGATACAATCTGGCACAACGTCTGGTAAATCGTTTATGAATATTACAAATAGCATAGGACCCAAAATACTTCCTTGCGGAACGCCCGAAGTAACATGTGCCTAGTCGGAGGGCACACGAGCGGTTGCGTTGAAAACCATGTTGCAGGGTTGTGAGGAGATGTTTTACCTGAGCACGCAGACCGTTCCCAACAAGACGTTCTAGAACTTTGTTTATTATGCACAGCAGGGAGATAGGTCTGTAGTTGATGGCTGGTTTAAGGGAATGATCCTTTTTGTGATTTCATTGCTACAGCGTCTTGAAAAATAAAAGTGCTGACGTCAGCATTATTTTCGAACGCTTTCAGAACTGTGTTATACACAAAATTTAGTTACAAATTCTATATATATAAACAAGAATTTAAACAACTTACCTCTATTTTAGCATTTGATTTTTGGATAAATGCTTGGTGGTATAAAATGGTCAATTTTATACCACCAAATTGACACTTTTATTTTTCAAGACGCTGTAACTCAGGAGGAGTTAATCATATTGATTCAAACTTTTTGGTGAACTCTCGTAATTATAATGATATAAACAACATATAAAACTTCCAGTATAGAGTTAATGTCTGTTACTTACCGTCAAAATGGGAAAGATCCATCACTTTTATAATAAAATATGTTGTCAGACGTCCATGTTTATAAACAGTCGCATGGCTACCATCAGAAAATATCGTGATGTTTCGGTATATTCCGGGAAAATGTCGTGATATTCCAGTGCCTTTTTTAACTATATATCTGGGGGAGGCAATTGCCCCCTCCCCAGGGAAAGAATTTGCCCCCCCCCAGTAAAGCCATTTCTGCCCCCGAAGTGCGAAGCAGAATTGCTCATGATTGCTGTCAGAATTGCAGTTGATTTACTTGATAATGAGATTATGCCCTTCATAGCCTCCTCCACAGCCATCTCGTGTGTAATTCATATTGTTCTTCACCGAGTATTTCATAATAGCGATAGATTTCATGCAAACAATCCGATAAAATGCTAGCCTTTCCAAGCCTTACGACTATTTCCTAGCACTCTCCTCCGCAGAGACGTTTTGTTTTGGGAGGTTTTATTGCAAAATTGTTTTCTTAAAAATATCAAGTTATATTAAGAGCCCCCCCAATCGCCACAAAAACCATTCTCTCAGAAAGTACACGTTACATGCTCGAAGCTGAAACTGATTAAGTTCGTCTCGACTGAGGAAAAAGACGATATACTGGAGGAACTTGATTTGTGAAATCTCGTTAAAGCAGTTGTAGAAGAATAATAGATGAATAGATTTAGTTTAGTCAAGAAGAATAGATTTAGTTTAGATTTTTAACTGTTAAATACATGTATGCATCATCATAGCATGAATATTTCTGGAAATGGTGTCTTAATTATAGAACCTAAAATAATTTAAATGCAACATTTCTGATCAAAATCACATTGGGATTCCCCTCCCCCCCCCTCCCCAGCATCACAGAGAGGAAATAAGGTGACACTGACCCCCTCCTCCTATTTTTCAAGGTGACTTTTCCAATTTATTTAATTCCGAGTAGAAATGTCTGGAAAAATTCATGTCTTCGATGTACTTAAAGGGAAATGGCAATATATTTTTTATTTTCTCATTTGAAAGAACTTTTGAAACTATTTAATAACTTTTTAATATTTTCACTTGAAGTAATGACATGTCAGCCATCTTGGATAAATTTTTTATCTCATTAACCGTAGTTTTGGTGACATCACAAGAGGTAAAAGTATTCGTTGCTGACCAAATATTGATTGGTAGATGTTTTAACGGTTTCAAGTGATCTTGATATTTCCAAGGGCATACAGAGTATAATTTTGAGTGCAAAATGATTGGTGGTTGTCCAGATAAAAATATTGTGTGACCCCTGTTGTGACGTAACATGCATATCTACAAAAATCCAAGATGGCGGACATTTCATTTCTTTCGATTAAAATATTTGTAGAAGTAATCAAGATATGAAAAAACGGTAAAAGAGTTTTCTATACGATTTTAAATGTTCTTTCAAACAAGAAAATAAATATATTGCCATTTCCCTTTAATAATCTTCGGAATTCTGCTAGATTTCACCCCAAATGCATGAAATCGCAATTCAGGGACCCTAGATTTCAAAATTTTCCGGACCCTCCTAGACCCCCCCACGCCTTCCCCCGCAAAATTAAGGTTTGGCTACGCCACTGGTTATAGCTGTACGATTATAGCTACAAAGAGTTGAAATTATTATTTAAAGTAAAATATGGCTGAAGTTAATAAATTAAAGTTTTACAAAATCTCTCTTCAGACTCGCACGTTCGCCAAACCTTGACGGCTCATATTTTTCGTTCTGCCTGTTTTGCCCCCCCCAGTGAAAATTCCTTAAAAAAGGCACTGTGCTATTCCGTGAAATTCCGGCATTTTCCGTGATATTCCACCATATACCGTGATATTTCGGGTTTTCACAACTCCCTGATTTATACGTGGTTTACAGGTATAAACTATTATAAACTGGAGAAAGATAGTGATTACGACCATTGAGTCCATATGAAAACTAGGCTTTAAGGCAATGCAAGTTATAGTCGCCTTTGTCTTAGAGATGCTGTTGTTGATGAGCACGTTCTTGTTGCCATTGTGTATACCAACGTCCCTAATGAATAACGATACAGCAGTAAAAGTTTGCAGCTTTGCTGATGCAATGCTTAAGTTAAGTAATTGTTCTATAACCTGCGCGCATTGTGATGACGTTAATAAACGGTGTAAAGCCCGTCCTGCTACAAGTAGGGGCGCTTTCCATTTAATGGCCTGACCAGTCAGACCCAAATGCTTTTCTCTGTATCAATGGAAAGATCTGGTCTATGTTTCTCAAATATCTATCGAAAATGGACCTCATTCTAATGTTATCTAAATTTTCCGGTCAGATAAGTCCGAAGCCCAAATGGTTTGTGTTTTATTCAACAATTTGACCGTTCTGACCGGTCTGGTCATGTTAATGGAAAGCGCCCGTAGACTCTCATTTGTAACGATACAACATCTGTAGCGCGTCTTCGTTTCATGCGATGTCGTGTCGTTGTGTCGAATTAAATGCATAAATTATGTTAAAGTCTGTTTCTGTCTTTCTGATCCCGTGGTTTCAATTTCTGGTTCAATCCATGATCGCTAGTCATGAAATAAATTCGTCCGAATTAATGGTTGTCACTTTACAGCGAACCAGAAAGGAGTGAAGCCAAGCAAAACAAAGAGCGAACTAGAAAGGAGTGAAGCCAAGCAAAACAAAGAGCGAACTAGAAAGGAGTGAAGCCAAGCAAAACAAACAGCAAACTAGAAAGGAGTGAAGCCAAGCAAAACAAACAGCGAACCAGAAAGGAGTGAAGCCAAGCAAAACAAACAGCGAACTAGAAAGGAGTGAAGCCAAGCAAAACAAACAGCGAACTAGAAAGGAGTGAAGCCAAGCGGAATTGAAGAACTTCGGAGACAATCTGCCAACCAACCAACCAACCAACCAACCAACCAACCAACCAACCAACCAACCAACCAACCAACCAACCAACCAACCAACCAACCAACCAACCAACCAACCAACCAACCAACCAACCAACCAACCAACCAACCAACCAACCAACCAACCAACCAACCAACCAACCAACCAACCAACCAACCAACCAACCAACCAAACAACCAACCAACCAACCAACCAACCAACCAACCAACCAACCAACCAACCAACCAACCAACCAACCAACCAACCAACCAACCAACCAACCAACCAACCGACCAACCAACCAACCAACCAACCAACCAACCAACCAACCAACCAACCAACCAACCAACCAACCAACCAACCAACCAACCAACCAACCAACCAACCAACATGAGTAAGAATCAACTGGACGACGATGAATCACAACCAAGAACGCCGACAAGTGAAGAAAGAGAAGCAGATGAACAACAAGAGGGAACGATCAAGTATATATCCGAAGGAGCCTGGCTTTCCAAAATGATTATCACCTATTCTTTAAATGGTGAAGAAAGCGAAGCAATAGAGAGTGCCAGTAATTCCATAGTTAAAATTCCGGCAGGCGCAACCCAAATTGAAGTCAAATTTAAAGTTTCCCGTCCATCGTGGGGTGATATCATGAAGTATGATCGTTTTAAAAAGACCTGGTGCCAACCTTGTGAGCCGCACGTCTTCCGCTACGAGAAACCACCAATTCGTACGTTCACTGTCAGTGGTGGTCTATGGTGGGAAGCAGTTATGAGAGTCAGTGATGAATATCACGAGGAAACCGGCGAAATGAGTTAGGTACTTTTCACAGACGGATTTAAAAACACATGCAAGTAATTGAGAGACAAGAATGAAGTAATTAGTGAGTTAATGGTTAATAAGTTGACATAATATGATATTTAATAATATAGTTGATATAATTGAGTAATAACAAATTATTGCTACTTTGGTTTTAAAATTTCAGAAATATTACATTATTTTATACTCGGTAACAAAACACCATTTAATAATGTTGATAAGACTACAATATTACTTCAATATTCAAGTTAATCTTACGAAACTAATCATGTAAACAGTCTTCAAAACATCGTTTTTATTTAATAAATGTTAAACCTTGTTTCTGGTTGAAAACGCGAAACTCTGTTATTGAAATAAAATCTGTAACCAAAACAGACTTGGCCTCGTAGCTAGCTCAGTTGGCAAAGCATTAGACTAGTATCCCAAAGGTCACGGGTTCGATTTCCACCGTGAGGCTAACTTTACTGATACTGATATTGATACTTTTTTGTTGCCAGGAAATAGTTTCTCCTATGGGGTGTGATTACATCCGCAAATAATAAAGGGCCAGCTTGCCCCAAGCGAGTGGAAGGGAGGTCTAATTGTCCTTTCCTAAGGGTCCTAAGGGGGCCAAGGGCGGGGGGCAAAGGTGCCCTTTTAATATAAGTATTATTAGTGTAAAAGTTGATTTTGCGATTATTGGAATCTATTATGCTTCAGTTAGTGTCTTTACCTACTACCTATATTTACTGGTACAACCAGAGTTAGGTCGACCAGTTGGTATGCGGATAGTTCGTGTCATAATATTAATCCGCTTTATTACGAACGATTGTAGAAAGTATGCATTAAATTAAGTATGCTTGATTGATTGTTTGTTTGTTTGTTTCTGCTAAACACATATTACAAGAATAAATAAATAAATAAACTAAAACTATAGTCTATATTAAACTGGTAGACCATTTGTCATATTGATAAAGCTAATTTCCAATTGCTTTCGGTGGCCTTCGGTCTGTATAGCACCCATTTGTACGTAGAAATAATGATTTGATGAGTTAAAATTTGGAAATCATCGAAATCCCATCAAAAGAGCGTGGCTACGAATTTGCTACCGACTACCCTTCATACTTGCAATTGCCCCTCCTGCCCTTTTATCGCTCCGGCGTCCCTGATAATTGCAGCGCCAAACAAATAACTGGAAGTGATAGTCCCGCCTATATATTTGATGATTTAAAGGGTCGATCGATCGGTCGAGCGTTGATAACGCGGAAAAAAGAACACGTGAATAATGTCGAGACTCGAGAAACATAAAGCGGGCTCAAATATTGCGAAAATTGATTTCAATATGTACAATAGCAAGATAATCGACAAGGAAAACTACCACCACACAGCTACACCAAAATTCCGGTACACCGCGCTCACAGCTAAAGCTGACAATAATTCTAAAGATCTATACCAGAACAATATCGTATTTTTTTAAAGAAATAGAACAATTGTCAAAGTTCATAGAGTAATATATAAGCGAAGCTATCACTTCCAGCTATTTGTTTGTCACTGTAATTGTTAACCGTAGGCGTAGCGCAGGCGTATACTATGTAATTGTAAACCGTAGTCGTCTGTAATTGTATTTTATAACTACCCGTTGAAGGCTGCAGTCTGGCAGCCGAAAGCTCGTGATAAATAAATATTTCCAACCAGAGAACGTCTCAAAAATCATTACGATAAACTTAAAGCCACAGATTTGGTATATTTTATATCACAACTTAAAACATTTAGAGGTTACCCCCCCCCCCCGTCTCTCATCAGTTTTGAAATAATTACAAAATTGGTCTTGAAAAACGGGGGGGGGGGCAGACCTCCATTCCCTCCCCCATGGCTACGCCTCTGCTTTCAACGAACGTTTAAATGTTCTTGTAGGATTTGACCAGATATGAGTAAAGAAGACCAAGAATCGTTGAGACAAGAAAATAAGTCGTCGCATGATGAAAGTCAATCGAAGGATTTTGAAAAAGAAGAAAAATCCTTGTTTAATGCGAATGAATTAAAAGATGGTCAACAGGAATATAAGTGCCTACTTATTGTAAACGAATCCAAGGAGGCTAAGCTCACTCTTTACATTTATCCTGTTTGGTCTCTATTCTGCAAGGTTTCCGAGAGCTCAAAAATAATCCAGCCGAACGAAAGAGTTCTTCATCGCAAGGAAACAGGATTTAAGTTTGAGATCGTTGCTAATTTTGGGGGCAAACGAGAGACAAAGAAACTTTTAGGACCTTTAAAATGGGTTGAAGATAAATTAATCAAGGTCACTGAAGCACTGGATTGTACCCAGGAAAACCTTGCCAATTTCCCAGAAGAGAAACGAGTATGCCTTCGAAAAATATACAGAAGAAAAGAGCTCAAGACTACATGCGGTGGGTTAAACCTGTATGAAATTTTAGGATTAAACATGAAAGAAAATCGCAAGAAAAATATTGATGACCAGAAAGCTGCCATTAAGAAGGCATTCCGTGAAAAAATGAGAATTTGGCATCCTGACAAAAACTTTGGCGACCATGAGATTGCAATGCAGATTATCGTGGCGAGGGAGACTTTGCTTGATGATGAAAGACGAGCTCGCTATCACAATGAAGCCGATTACGATGCAGGATGGTTGTCTCTAAGACGCTTCAAAGCAATTTTTTGGCCAGAGTGTTTTACCGACAAACAAAATGAAGTCTACTGGCGTAGAATTGGCTTGCTTACTCTATCGTTGGGGATCACTGTTGGCGGGATCGTCTTAACTGCTTGCACTGCTGGAGCTGCCGCACCGCCGACAGTGGTGTTTGGAGCTATATTTGGATCCGGGTTTATCGGAGGTGGGATACAATCTTTCATGCACGCTGTTAATAAAGAATCCATAGTAGACGAGTGTGACGTCAAATCATGGTTATTAAAGTTAGGGATCGGGTTTGCAGGTGGTGCAATTACTGGCGGTGTTGCTGTAGGCATTACGGCAGGAGTGGTCGGCATTGGAAAAGTTGCGTTAGAATCGGGTACCATTGCAGCTGGTCAGTTCCTTGGAGTTGGCGCGGGAACTGGTGCTGTTGGGGGCGTTGCGTCATCTCTTGCTTCAGATGCTGGGAGAGCGTTTGTAGATGGAGAAAATATCACAGCGAAACAGGCATTGCTTCGTGCAGGATGTTCAGGTGTGATAGGAGCTGGTGCCGGAGCTTTAGGAGGTCTAGCTACCCAAGGTATTGTCAGTCGTCAAGCATCTGCAGCCACCGCCACTCTTCAGGGAGATATAGGAGAGCAGGTTGTTGTGCTCACGGGAGCTAGACGTCTCGGTAATACTTTAGCACGGGAGGTCTCTCGACAGTTAGCTGAGTCTGGAACAGAGGCGATAATGGGGACGGCGACCCAATTTGTCGAAGAACGCTTAGATGATTCAGTGGAAAATCAACACCCCATGGAGCATGTCGTGCGCGGCGTTAAGAATGTAGCTATTAATGCTGTGAAAGGAACTGCCGTGCAAGGAGCTGGAACTCTTGTCTCTCATGGGATCAACGAAGTCAAAGTTAAGAGACAAGTGAGGCATACTGCTGAATGTAATAAAACAGTAATTCGTCGCAAGGCTAGATATGACTTGTCTTTAGAAAACAACGAACATCGGGCCAACTGGAAATCGGTAAAAGGATCATCTAGTTACGAGCCAATCTGTCAACCAACTAACGTGAGTACGAATCAACCGGACGACGATGAATCACAAGCAACAACGCCGACAAGTGACGAAGGAGAAGCAGATGAACCACAAGAGGGAACGATCAAGTATATATCCGAAGGAGCCTGGCTCTCCAAAATGATTATCACCTATTCTTTAAATGGTGAAGAAAGCGAAGCAGTAGAGAGTGACAGTGATTCGATAGTTAAAATTCCCGCAGGCGCAACCCAAATTGAAGTCAAATTTAAAGTTTCCCGTCCATCGTGGGGTGACATCATGAAGTATGATCGTTTTGAAAAGACCTGGTGTAAACCTGACGAGCCGCACGTCTTCCGATACGAGAAACCACCAATTCGTACGTTCACTGTAAGTGGTGGTTTGTGGTGGGAAGCAGTCATGAGAGTCAGTGATGAATATCACGAGGAAACAAGGGAAATGAGTTAGGTACTTTTTACAGATGGATTAAAAACACATGCAAGTAATTGAGAAACAAGAATGAATGAATTAGTGAATGAATGGTTAAGACTAGTTAATATAAATATCTGCATGATTCTAATATAGAAATCGGGCAATTATATACAGGCATGATTAAGAAACGATACAAACAATATATATTTTTTGTGCTAATTGCGATTGAGTAATTTAATTGGGCTAGCTCATGCATGTATGCGTTAATAATCATTATTTTTTATTTAGTTAATTTAAGAAACGTCACGTGACGAGTAAATTGGATAATATCAATATTACTGCTACTTTGGTTTTAAAATTTTATTTCAGAAATATTACATTAATTAATTTATACTGGGTAACAAAACACCATTCAATAACGTTTATCAGACTATATTTCTCTTCGCGATTTAATTGTGATGGAGGTATTTCTTGAAGTCCTTAGCCAGACACATGTGTTGATCGCTTACTTGTTTGCCAGCAAATTTAGGCTTGCCTGTCTTTACCACTTCCCCTATATATTTGACGATGGCTTCTGTAATGACAAGGAACACGTTTGTTTTAGCAGACTCTCTAATACACCCAACTTTTACTGTAAAGTAGGAACTCAACTGCATGCAAAGAAACACTAGACAAAAATCACCATTTTGTTTGTTGGCTAGCATCAACTAATGTATATATTATTATATTGTGCCTGTTAAGCCATCTATAATGCCTCATTAGTTCGTTTGCCAATCCCAAATGACAGATAGTATCTTTCATATGACATCTTCATTTGACGGTAATTTCTTTACTTGCCTACCCTGGATTCCAGAGCCTTCAGTAAATAAAAAATTGAAACGTCGTGAAGGCTCTGGTTCAACGGGAGGATTCTTTGATTAAACCGCGCCAATCACAAAACAGAATTAGTGGTTTTAGTAAATCATTTCTTTCAAAAGTACCCGCTCTAACTAATCGTCTACTTATATAAAATATTTTTCGTTTGCTGACGAATTCTTCATTTTCCGACAACTGCTTTTCAGGGGGCGTTAAACTCCCCACCTCTGGCGAATATGATCGCACGTACGATGCTGATACAATGCCAACTTTAGACAAAATTTTTTTCTCATTTCCTATCTTCGTCATTGTTTGCAAAACTGTTGAAAAGCTAAATAATTGTAGCTCTTACCTGGTGTCCTCTCGCCTCGGTATTGATCGAATTTTATCCCTTTTTTATAAACAAAGATAGTTGGAAATCCTTGTATATTGTTTGCTGTACATATCGGTTTTCTTCCACCTTCGATTTTTTCATCGTCGCACTGGACCTAAACAAAATTTCAAAGAAAGTTTAGTAACTATCGAGTCTATCAGTACATGCATTCGATGTATTGGGGCTTGGTGGTATAATCGCCGGGGCAAGCGCCGGCCTTTCACCTCTGAGATAGAAGAATCGACAGTCAGTCGCACTGGAAAAAAAATTGAAAATCCATAGAAGGCCATACAATGGAAATTGTATGGACCTTTATTGGAAATAGAATGGATTTTGATTATCCATAATAATTGTATATTTTCATAGTATAGATAAAGCATCAAAATAGTATGGATATACTATGGATTTAGTGGTGCAATTGCAAATTTCATAGTATGGATTTTCACATTTTTTCCAGTGTCGCGTATTTTCTTCGTGTACTCCGGTTTCCTCCCACGGGAAATGTTGACAATGTGGGTTGGAATTAGTCCTTGGCTAACCTTCCACCGTCCGTGTGCTCCATGATCAGACGCGAGTCCTGAGGTGGCTGCCAAAGGCACCCTTAGACCCCTATACATGGCACCCACCAGAAATTGTCTGGTTAATTTGACCATGAAGTCATGGTCAAATCAAACACCAGACTACAGGGTGTATCAAAAAAAGCGCAATTCTCGACTGAAATGTAAATTGCTAAACATGCAAATAATAGACGAAAACGTTAAAGTTTACATTCATTTTAAAGCGTAGCCATTCAGCTTTCTAACAGTGGATTGTTTCTTAAATTTGACTCATTGGTTCGCGGGTAATAATACTTCACGTTATTGCGATTGGAGATTAAAAAAAATTGAGATGGAATAACAAATCGTTCTCATGAAAATAACTGATTTTTTTCATTAAAACAAAGAAATGTTGCATTTTATTAAATGGATTGTAACAATAAGTATAATTACGGCTTTTCTTCCACTATTTTTAACTCAGTTTGAAACTTCAAATGCGATATAATTTTGGCTTGGACCTTCTAAGCTGACTGACATCAACCTGCTATAATTTCTGTTTACATTACATCGCAATTCGATGACACTCTGGCTCAGACACCAGAATGTTTTGACGATTTTTAGCATTCGTTTAGGATTTTCAAACAAGCTGGTCTCTTTTAAAATACTTTTAATTTGTTCTTACGTGGTTTTCCAGATGTAGTGGCGACAACATTAAAGTTTAAAGAAGAAATTCTAACATTTAAACCGACTAAACAATAACATAGTAAACTTGCATAATTAAACAGCAACTAAAAATGATAGGTTTTACTAAATCTTTTCCTGTGCAATTATTACTAGCATTGGAGACAAGAATAATAGTTTGTTTGAAAGAGAAAAGAACAGGCTTTGAAGTAAGCCTAAAAGCGTTTAACTAGAAATAGTATTTCGAAAGTTATTAAGCACAAAAGATGAATTGCATTTATTTTGATACACCCTGTATAGCAGGAGAAAGGTTAAAATAGCCAGGAAAATGAACCTGGAATGCTAAGCCAACTCAAACAGGGTTATTTCTTGGTTAAATAACCAGGAAAATGTTAAACAGGGCGTTTTTAAAGTGTAACTTTGCAGCATAAATTTAAGTTCGTTTAGTAAGGTGGTGGTAATAGAAAAAAAAACACGTTCTCTGCTTCGACATACCTTAATTAATTTAACTTTATCTTTTAAATCTCCTTCTGAAATCATCTTTGCTGCCTGTTCGTATTTTGGAGCCAGAGTGACGCAATATGAACACCTTGTAAAAAGTAACAGAAAGTTTAAATAACCCTCGGCCTTGTAAAAATAGCGAATCAAATAGATAAAGTCGATGACAACGGGTGAGAATATCGATTATGACTTTGTTTTCTGGACAAAGTCAGACAGCCGACGTTTGACCAATGTATAGATTTGGCAATAGATGTCGGAGAACAGGAGTTTAAAACGACATTACTATTAACTATGTTAATCGTAATCTCAATAACATTCTAAAGATCAGATTGGACGCTGCCTAAAATAACTCTATCAGTTCTTAAATTGTTCGTAGTTTACTACAAGAACTAAATTAGTCATTTATACTACTAACTAGATAGCTCTATCTGTTCTAAATTGTTCTTCCTGGAGGTCCAGTATAGGAGTCTGCACCAGCCTTTGCAGTTGTAAAGGTTAGCCTGTACTTACCAAGAAGCAAAGAAGTCGACCATAGAGTACTCCGAGGTAATTAGATCTTGTTTTAAACCGTCCCAATCGTGAAATTCCTTGACAGCCGCGGCTTCTGATTGCCATAGCTGAACAATGCATAAAACTACTGCGAAGAGAAACCTTGAAGATGCCATAATTAGATAGTTTCAAAATAAAACAGTCAAACTATATTGTTTGAAATGTCTGATTTATTAAAAACAGCTGGTTACGGATGAAAAGATTTTGCTACAAGTAATTCGTTCAAGCGGCGGAAGTCTGACAATTGGGTACCTGGTAAAAAGACAGCCAGGGTGCGCGTTCACCTCGAGCTATAGCGAAAGTCAGTAGGCTACTTTTTTGCAGATACTTTTAATTTCAGTTTTTAACAAAAGTGCCGATATCATGCCAGAAACGTTTCTTGCAATATTACATGGTAATATAATTGGATTTCTAGTGTAAAAAACACCACACCTTTATTCATTTGCCAAAACGTTCAGTCCGTGCGCCCACGGATCTTCGTCAGGGCAGTTAATTATAATAATAATATTTGAATTTAGACATATTTTTGTACATATATACTAGTGAGTCTAGTGATTAGTTAGGGGCTGATTACATGGTGCCGAGCTGGCCCGGTTAACCGGGCTGACTCGTTTGTTTAGGACCTTACTGTGGTTTTAAAACTCGCGTAAAATAAATTTGCGATAAATAATTGGTTTAGTATAGATGCAAAATCATCCTAAACCCGATTTAAAACTCATTTTGCGGCCCAAGGAAGATTTTCGTGACATTTTTCAGCCCGGTTAACCGGGCTGGCTCGGTCCATGTAATCAGCCCCTTAGACAGGGTTTGGGGTCCATTTCTGAGCCAACAAAAAGCTTATATGTATGTGATATCTGTTGATATTAGGTTGTTCAACAACCTAATATCAACAGATATCACATAGATATCATATAGCTTTTTGTTGGCTCAGAAATGGACCCGAAATCCTGTGCAACTAATCACTAGACTCACTAGTATATATATATATATATATATATATATATATATATATATATATATATATATATATATATATATATATATATATATATATATATATATATATATGAATTCAAATAATACAATATAGTTGGGTGTAAAGCAAGACCGTTGGGTTTCCTCAATTAATTAAATTCAGTCCAATTCTAAAGTGATTTACAAACCATACCCTGTAAATTCATTTAGATTGCTCTGAAGATGTTGTATTGTAAACAACGAAACGTTAGCTAATAATTTTTCTACTCTTATTATGTTTGGATTTAAAGTTATTTGCTGGGCTCTGCTTTTTATCTTTAAACAAAGCCTCGTTCAAGCGAGGATCAGACTTGATGAGAATTGGCGACTAGTCGCGTTTGTTACGGGAGACATTTTAGCACTAGATAAGCAAAATAAAGGTTTAATGAGTGTAAACCTTTTCCAACTATGTTTTAACTTAAATAGAATACATGATAGTGTTGGAAAAGCATTAAGAACAGCTAACCAAGATCGTATGACTGGCAACTCTTATGCGTTCTCATCCTTGTTTCATCCGAGCTTTAGCATTTCTTGAATTAGCGCCGCCAAGTATTTTACCAGAATGTGTTAAAAGTACATGCAGGTATATAACAACAGACGATTAAACAATCAACTTTTAAACAATAAACGTACTATCAACATCCCGCCTTAATCAGTTGGAATCTCGTTGCTAAAACAGGTCATTTTCTGGTGGCTTTGCAAAACGCTTTGTCCTTCCAATTTCACACAGCGAAATAAAATGAGCCTGTGCCAACAGCTATTGTTGCCTTTTCAAAACAAGTAATGTACTTCGACTGGCTACGATATATATTGCTTCTACCTTTGATTTATTGGTGGTGAAATTCGGCCTTGGTCGTTGAATGATAATGTAAAAGTGAATTATAGAACGGTAAATTAAAAAGGAAGAATCTATAAGTTGTAAGTTTTTGAAAGTGAAAACGGAAACGTTTATGGTCCAGCAAAACCAAGTCATCCTTGTAGACCCAGACAATGTAGCAGCGTTCAAGACCAATGATTATTTGACATCAATGGCACAATTCTCCGCCACTTGTAATTTTTGAAAGGATATCGTTTTCAACCAATATAGGTGAGACAATTTATATATTCATTGGCTACATGTGTCCGCTCAGATTCTCTCATTTCAAAAGATCAGCCCTAACTGACTAACGACGCGTACGCTCACTAACATAACTCTATCAATTCTAAATTGTTCTTCCTATAGAGGTTCAGTAGGAATCAACCTTTGTCGTTGCAGTGTTACTACAAGAAGAAACTTGAACTAAACTAACTGTTATACTAATTGGATAGCTCTGTCGACAAGTTGTGTTGTACTGCTTGTTCCCAGTTGTTGTAACAAGTTTGATGGCATTGCCAGACTTGTTACAAGGTTGTTTTAACAAGTCTGATACAGTCATGATATAACAAGAATGTTACTAGGTTGACGATACAAGGTTGCAACATATTGTTATATCATGACTGTATAGAACTTGTTGGAACAACCTTGCAACAAGTCTGATGATATCAACAAGGTTGTTACGGCTGTTAACAGCTTGTTCCATACTTGTTGACAACTTGGGACAAGCAGTGCGAACACAACTTGTTGACTTGCTACAAGATGTAAGATTTTTGCGTGTGTGTTACAGAAATCTAACAGAGATAGCCAATACACCATCTAGTTACAACTTTCAAGTATAGCTTTACTAAAAATTCTTGTAATTTAGGATCTGCCGATGTCGTCAAACGAAGAAAAAGCAATTTATGTCTTGGAACAATTGAACGAGCAGCTATTGTGCCCAGTATGTTTAGAAAAATTCTCAGAACCAAAATTACTGGAGTGCCATCATACATTCTGTACAAACTGTTTGCAACGCATAATAAATAACTGCGAATCAGTCTGTGTCGTTTGCCCTACGTGCCGAGATGAGACCAAAATTCCAGATCAAGGAATCGAAAGCCTGCCGACCAATTTCTTTGTCAATAGTATACTTGGTTATCTATCACTGGACGGGGAACAACTAGAGCGAATGAGAGTCGAGAGAAAATGCGAAATGTGCGACGAGCCTGAATTTGCTGACCTTGCAACTTCGAAATGCGTCGACTGTTCGAAAGTGTTATGTGGCGCGTGCGTTGCTGATCATAAACGAGCCCGCACTACATTGGATCATAGAGTGGTCGCGCTGCTGGGACTCGACGCAGATTGTGATAAACAGGAGTTGGATCGGTATAGCATTAGTTTCTGCAAGACGCATACACGGAATGTCATCAAGTACTACTGTATGACATGCGACACCACTGTGTGTAGAGTATGTACGATTTTGGAACATCGGGAACACAGGTAAGCCTTCCACCTTTTTAATTTAGTATGGTTTGTGGTATATTTTACCATTTTCTGGCCTGTAGCGCTTGCATACCAATGGACTATAATCAGTTTTTTCGACATAAAAGAATGTGCTACATATATAGCTACAGTACGTTAGGTACTATTTGAGTTGAAAAAGCTTTATTTAAAACATTTTGTAAAGGCTGGGTTGTTTACATGATCAAAGTTTCTGTGATCACAGTAGGAATTTTTCATAGCTACATTCTAAGTTCTGAAGTATTATTTCAAATCCGCGCAATCAAAATGCGAGGACTTGAAATCTAGTCCAGTCCGAATTGGAGGATTTGAAATGGCACCTTATACGAATAAATCACTACCTAATTAAGTGAGGTGAATTAATTTTGATCCAGTCCTAGGACTGGATCAATATACTTCACCAGGTATCCAGTATTATCATGTGAGCAAAATAAAGCAATATGGTTGGCTAATTCACTTATGAATTGTTAATGAGTTTGAGATGGATTTGTAAGAAATGTTTGAGCTAGGGAACTGGCGCAGTGTTCATGAACAATTCTTTCAAATCCTTCAAAACTTAGAATTTGCCCATGCAAATTTGCTACTGTGATCACAGAAACTTTGATAGTGTAAACCAGTCTTTATATAGAAGTGACAACAAGCTTTATTCTAAATGTGTTATTCTTACAAAATACAGATATGTTTACCCAAAGGAAGCCTTGCCTGAGCAGAAGGAAGAAATCGCAAAGCTTCTTGGGAAGACTAAGGAACGGATCCCCGAGTTAAAAGACGCGCTGGGACTGGTGCGAGAGATGTCAGAAAAGTTGGCAGACTGTAAGATGACAATCGCCGAAGAGATAAAGCGGAACGCGAATGAGCGGGTCCTGGCATTGCGAGAAGCGGAAGAGAAGCTCTTGGGACGGCTGGAGATTATTTACACTGGAAAGCAGAAAGTTCTTGGCCTGCAGAGAGATGGCCTGGAATTGGAGCTTGGCAAGATCTCGGGATGTTGTGAATTTGCTGAAAATGTCTTGAAATATGAGAACGAAGTGGAAATTTTGACGATTAAGAACAAGTTAAAGAATTTAAGCGATATTGAGGTATATTGCATTTAACTTTATTTTTATACAGTTATAAGTCATTTATAAGCAGTCCTGCCACACGTAGCGTGATTATGTAACAAGCAATTAAGCAATGCAACAGTTATTAGTTAATATTCTGCCAATAATCATATTTTTATTTTTTCCAAATCAGTTAAAACTCGATCCTGAAGAAGACGACACAATCCAGTATACCGCTGATCCAGACTATTTGCGTACTGTGTCCCAGTCTCTTGGCATTATTCACGCCAGTAGCACGTTCGCCTCACTGTCCTTTGCAGTGGGTGATGGGATATCCACAGCCAGAGTGAAGGTCGAGGCAAGCTTTCAGGTGATCACGAAGGATCGTCATGGCAACAGGAAGGAGGGCGGTGATAGGCTGAATGTTTTGGTACGACAGCCTGATGGCACCATTTTGAAGTCGAAAGTCAAGGATGAAGGTAAAATGAGAGCTAATAAATAATTTTATGATGAACTCAAAGTTAAACCATATTATGCGGTATTATGCCATACCATGTTATATCATGCCATATTTGCCCTGGGCAATTGTACTTTTTAACAATAAACTTTTAATTTTTATCGTAATATATGTAATTCATAAATTTAGATTGATATTGTCCATTGTATTGATAAGGTGGATTATCATTGAAGCTCTATATTATTTACACTATAACATTATATTTCATTCCATACATTTCCATACCATATCATACCATACCATACCATACCATACCATACCATACCATACTACAATAACCCATCATATGATACCATAGAACACAACATATTACAACTAAGTAAGGTATATACCATACATTATGTACCATACTACACGAGATACTTCATGTCCTAAATATCATACTATTCAGCAAATAATTTCTATGTGAGTCCAGTAGGTTGGAAACTTTTTTACATGAACTTTAATTATATCAATTGCTTCATCCATGTTCTTTTAATCCTCTTCAAAGGTAACGGTACCTACCTTGTGAGCTACACACCAGAATTGAACGGCAAGCATGAAATATCCGTTACAATCCAAGACAAACCCATCAAAGACAGCCCCTTCAATGTTCTCGTTATAAACCGCCGAGAATATAACGAAGTTGGCTCAACGCTGATGAGATTTGGTCAATATGGCAGCAAGAAGAAAGAGTTCAAGTCGCCGTTCGGTGTAGCTTGCGACCAGTCTGGCCATATCTATGTCGCCGATAGTTACAACCATCGTGTTCAAGTGTTTGGCACGAAAGGAGAGTTTGTGCATTTCTTTGGAGCCCATGGTGAAAGAAAGGGTATGTTGTCTTGTAATTTCTAATTCTTATCATTTGTAAAACGGTGTATGCCATTTTCTTATTGTTAAAACACTGGATCAATATAAAAGAAGAGTTATTATTGTATCTCTAGAAAAAACAGTTTAGAGCACTGATAGAACTATCTATTATAAATAGAGTTAGTTTAGTTTAGGTTTCCTTCTGTAGTGTCACTAGGTCAATAAGTGCAGTGATTTCTCTTACTGGACTTACTGCATAGAGCTCTAGGGAGAACAGTTTAGAACTGTTGAAGCTATCCAATATAAATTATAAGTAAAGTAGTATAAATAAAAGTTAGTTTACTAGTTTAGAGTTTGGAGTTAGTTTAGATTAGATTTCCTCCTGTAGTAACACTAGATTAGTAAGTGATGTCTCTTACTGGACGTCCAAGGAGAACAGTTCAGAACAGTTGGAGCTATCCAGTATAAATAAAGTTAGTTTAATTTAAAAATGAAAATTAAAGCCCAACAAATGACTTTCAGACAAGACATAACAAAATATAAAATTTATTGGCTAACGTTTCGTTGTATTGTTCACAACATCTTCAGAGCAATTAAACTTATTTACAAGCGTGTATCATATATATACAAATAGTTTAAAACGGTACAACGAAACAACAAAACGAAAAAAACAACAACAAAAAAATAAAAAAAATAAAATAAAAAAAATAAAATAAAATAAAAAAATACAAACAAACGTTAAGCAATAAATTTTATATTTTGTTATGTCTTGTCTGAAAGTCATTTGCTGGGCTTTAATTTGCATTTTTAAATTACGCTTTCCACCCGGTGTATCAATCGCTACTGTTTTAAAGTTAGTTTAGTTTAGAATCGTTTAGTTTAGTTTAAGTTTCCTCCGTAGTAACACTAGATCAGTAGGCGAGTTTCGTTTCGTTTCGTTTAGGTTTTCTTCTGTAGTAATGCTAGATTGGTAAGTCACGGCTCTTACTGTATCTCTAGGGAAAACAGTTTAGAATTTCAAAGTGATAAAGTTTCATTTCAAAGTGTAAGTAAATGTTGGTTCAGTGTGGTGCGATTTTATATCAACTGATAACAACTATATGATATTATTTTCACAGGTGAGTTCAATTGTCCTACGGATGTGGCCGTGGACTCCGCTGACCGTGTGATTGTGTGCGACAATGGCAACAATCGTGTCCAGATCCTCACGTATGAGGGTGCATTTCTGGGCAAATTTGGCCGCGAGGGAGTTGGGAACGGGCAGTTCAAGAGCCCCTGGGGGGTGGCTGTGAACGACGCCAGACAGATCTTGGTCGCCGACATGGAGAATCATCGAATACAAATTTTCAGTCCGGAGGGGAAATTCGTGCTAAAATTTGGCTCGTTTGGTGAGAAGAACGGCCAGTTTAATTCACCGTGTTATGTTTTGATCGACAAAGAAAGTGAAAGTATTATCGTGGCCGATTCAAAGAATCATCGCTTGCAGTTCTTTGATAAGAATGGCCGCTTCAGAAGGAAGATGGGCTCTCAAGGCACGCGTGAGCTGCAGTTTACGCATCCCAGAGGTCTGGCACTAGATGTCTGTGGTCACCTGGTTGTGGCCGATATGGGAAACCATCGTTTGCAGATTGTGACGCTGGATGGAAGACTGGTGAAGACTATCGGCTCGGAAGGTAGTGGTGATGGTCAGCTGTCTTTCCCTGAGAGTGTAGCGGTTACTCCCAACACTGGGTATATTGTCGTCTCTGATTTGAGCAATAACCGCATCCAAGTATTTTGAGAAGTTAGCGGACGTGTAGCAAGGAGAGAAGCAAGTACGAAGCTTAACTTCTCTTTCCTAAGACATTCTCAAACTGAGAATGAAGTAGTACTGATGTACAAGCTGCCGTAGTTTGTATCCGAACTAGAAAGTCCCTCTCTCTAGTAGAGCAGGTTGTCAAACCGTATAATTACGATTGAGATTCTAAAGTTGATCATATTTCAGCTGAACAATTAATGTCAAGGGACAACCACCAATAAACACTTCATTAAAAGTTTTGCAAAATCTTTTATATATGCCTAGATGTTATTTAGATACAAAGGTTAAACTAATTTTACAGTAGTGCGTATCAAATTCGCGTCAATTAAAATATTGTGAGAGATAAATTTATTTTAAAATTAAAGTTGATTAGTTTCTTTGTTTGAATCTAGTGCAATTATTAACGAAACGAAACTAAATTAACTTTATTTACACGAAATGAACTGTTCTACCAGTTCTATACTCCATGAAGTACAGTTTTAGTTTAGAAAAACGAAAAGACATATGCCGCGAAGACGCAAAATATGATAAAGAAAAGAACGAAGAACAATCTATCGAAGACTTCCATTGTATAGTGCCAGTCCTCTTTCATCTCCCTCGCGACACTTTCCTCCTCCAAATGCGCGGATAATTTTTGTAACTCGACTAAGATCTTCTGTTCTGTAAGCGGCTTTCGTCCGGCGGGAATCTGGCCTGTGAAATCCCGCAGATTAATGTATTGTGTAGACGATTCGCTGAGTAATATCTCCTCAAAATTTAACTTCACTCGTTTTGGAAGCGACTCTTTCTTCATGCAAAGAGCGACCGCGATGCAGTCTCTGACTCGTGCCAAGCACCGTGGCACAGGCACACCTGAGGATACGTGATTTAAGCGAAGTATAAAGGCCGTTGCCAGGAGGGCTAACACAGTAGTTGCAGCAATAGAATTAAAGAATTCAGTTACCATCGGAACAGCATCGGAAGTGACCGGTGTACGATCGTTCACGATAAGCATAAACACGACAAGTCCGAGCAACACCGAAATGACAAGAGACACCCTCTCCCCTGAGTCGGCGGGAAATAGGAATGAAATACAAGCGAGCAAAGACAAAAGCATAGAGGGGATAATAATGGTCATTATATAATACAATGCTTTACGATGGAATTCCAAACTGTAAACTATATCAATAAACGGTGTAGGGCAACATTCGTGCTTCACCGAGCGTCTTTTAGAGGTGACTGATTTCAATTTCCACTCCGAATTCTCTTTATGTTGCGCTAAATCAACGGCATTGCTGTCTAACTTTAGGTCAAGCGCTCGTCCGTCGTAAGTCCAAGACCCGAGCTTTATCTTGCATTTCTGCGTGTCGAAAGGGAACTTCGAGACATCGATAGGGCAAGCGGAGCGTGAGATTTTTGTTATGAACCAAGTCGCACTCCCGTCTGAATTCACCAGGATTCTGAACTTGTCATTGGATATATGACCTTCGTCTTCTTTCGTGCTAAAAAGAAACACAAAATACCTTGGGTATTTTTGCTCATACTTCAGTGTGGAGTAAGGGTCTGTGGCTATCTACCTTTTAAAATTGTTCTCGGCATAGTCTCAGAAAGCATCATTCCTAATATTGGATAATTCCCGCTATACGGACGACTGGAATTTTGATCTAGACAAGAAGGATGAAATCCAACACCACACTTAGAAAGAGCATCTTAAAACGAGTAAAATTGCAAAGCCTGCAAAGTTTGGTTGCGAAATGCTGTAAAATGAGGAAAATATAGCCCTGTGAAGTTCGCAAATTTTGTAAAATATTTGCATTACGCGCGGGAAAAACAACCATTTTTGAGCGGAAAGTGGTTATTTTTACCGCGCATAATACAAATATATACAAAATTTGCAGGGCTATATTTTCTTCATTTTACAACATTTCGAAACCAAATTTTGCACTTTTACTCATTTTAAGATGCTCTTTCTAGATGTGGTGCTGGATTTCGTTCTTCTTGCCTAGATCAAAATTTTGTCCATAGCTAGAATCCATCCATTGGTTTGGTCCACTGGAGAGCGCTATCCATGAGTGGTGTAGCAGAAGGGTTGTTTGTTAAAATGTCATTTCGGGGGTGGGCTTAGCCCCTCTTAAGATTTTAGCAAGACTGAAGTTGTCATTGAAAATATAGCAAGCTTTTACTAATTTTCTTTAATAAGATTTGGTATTATTCTACAATTAAAACACAGCTACTGTTCCAATAGTATTTTCGTGTTCGATTTTTAAAGTCGCACCAGTAATTCTATTTCTCCTTATACACAGGATGGTATGCTGAGTAATGAACCCTGTAGTGAAGACTAAGGGACCGTTCATTATTTATACCCGGGGTTGGTACCGAAGGGAAGCGAAAAACACTGTAAATTTTTTATTTACCCAACCTCAACATTGGTCAAAATAATGTTTACCCAACCCATGTGTTACTGTACTTCATAATAATTAAACACACAAGATTATATGGTGACAGAAATCAAGTTGCCTTAATTCTAAAAGCTCACTCACACTCAAACTTACTGAGTGTGCCAAAGCAATCACGTTCTTGCTGATCAATGATAGAGTCCTTCCTCAATCACGGAAGGTCTACTATGGTACAGAATGTATTGTACACATTTTTCTTCATATCTTCCAGTGCATGCATATAATTTTGTTTTGATTTTATAGCTGACAGACAGTCATAATTTTTTACCCAACTAATGAGCTAGTCAAAAACGTGATTACCCGACCCATATCTCATCGGTGCCAACCCCGGGTATAAATAATGAACGGTCCCTTACTTGTCGTAGAGTTCAATGTCAGGGGTCCACATTCGTGATGGATGAAGGTTGAGGACTGATTGTCCGCCATAATCACTGGCATTCCATTTCAAGAGCTCGTCATTCCAGTACTATAGGAAATACAAAAATATTCCCTCTGTCATTATTTCAATTTCAACAGTTCTCAATCAGAGAGTTAAACTAACTTTATCTATACTGGATAGCTAGCTCTTGTCCTTCTCAAGTCTGATTTGCGTACGGTCGTAACTGTCGCGAACATGCATGTTGTACTACGGTTGTCACAATAGTGTTCGCGACCAAATGGAAACGTGAGGAAAAGTCTTGTCGCCAGACGCTGGCAACAGTTCACGACAGTTCACGACAGTTCACAACAGTGTCGTCGAGATAGACTCGAGTTCTATCTTGACCGACTTGACGACAGTTGCGACAGGTTAAAAACATGTCGTGACGGTTATTTTTTAATGGAAACAGAAAAACGACACCGTGGCAACAGTTTTGCGACGATCAGGGAAGGGGGACAAGGGTCCTCTTTTTAAAACTGTCACCAGCTGCTTGCACGAACACTGGATAGGAAAATAACTTGCGACAGTGCAGCACTGTCGCAAGTTAATTCAGTCCGCGTGACAGTGCACGATATTGTCACGACAGTTTCAACAATATGGAAACAAGCATCATAATCATTCACGACAAACACTTAACGACACGTTCCTGACTGCATCTCTCTTATTGGTTCGGTGTTATTCTGAAACCGCTTACCAGTGTTATCCACACAAGAGTGAAGAATTAGCGTTGGTTCGTCCTAACAAGGAAGAAAGTGTAGATAGTTATTCTTAAACGGCAAAGCAAATATATTTGGATCACTATCAAGAAACACGTAAAATTGGTAAAAATCTCACAATTTGTCAACAAGATGTGTTCGCAACAGGCTTGTAGCAAGCTTCTCAACAAGTTGTAACAATCATAGCCAGTCGAAATTATACAGCAAACATTGCATTGCTTTAGCCGTACTTAGCCGTTTTTAAGGTTATTTGAAAAAGCTTCAATCATTACAGTAATCAAATTACTTCAGTATAGCCAGCTCATTCCTGTGCTGGAATTCAGATAAAGCTTGGATCTTAGTCATTGAATTCGAGGGGGAAAAAGGGGGAGATAAGATTCAATATTTTGAACTTATTATAAATTCATCATCAGACAATATCAATCAGTATCAATCAATACCAATCAGTACCAATCAATACCAATCAATATCAATCAGTCGAACTTACTCACCAAATCTTGTAATTGGTTGTATGCAAGTTTAACTTTCACAGTCAGGACTTCGGAAGCATTCTTCACTGGCCTAGCATCTTTATCGTAGTTTTTCAACAAGTCATGTATTAAGCGTGTTGCATTCGTCTTCGTTCCATCACTGACTGTACGCGAAAGACCATAGAAATAGGTATAAAGTTAGTTTAGTTTAGGTTTCCTGCTGTAATGTGGTAACACATGGGCAACTGATAAGGGATGGCTCATGTTGGACCTCTGTGGAGAACAATTTAGAACTGATAGAACTATATTCCGCAGTATAAATAAAGCTACAGGTAATTAATAGACCAAAGGCAGAGAACAGGAAATATATGATGAAAAGAAGGGTTTCTTCTTTCTATAAATATTTTCCCGATATCTGAACAGTTTCAGGAATGATTTTTGCGAGTTGGTGTCAATTTTACAAGTATATAGATCACGCATGCAAGCATATTAAAATAACAAAGAACAACGTTTTCTACATAAGTCGAACTATCCGCGAGCTTACCTTTTAAATTTGCGAACAATAAGATAAATCCAACGAAAGCATTAAAAACTATGGTTGCGTAGTCACCCATGGAAAAATCGAGTTTTTCTCATGACGATTTATACGTTTTCGTCAGCGCAAAACCGTTGCTAATCGAATAATTAAACATGCTGGGAACCTTTACTTTGATTGTAAATACACGGAAGAATACACCTGCTTTTTGTGGCAATAATTCATACATTATTAAGAAGAGAAACGTTTGTATGATACGTATAAGACGCGTTTAGTCATATTAAGGTTACAGAACACCTTTGAGTGTTAATTTTGCCCAAAAAAATTTTATTGGTTTCAATGAAAGCATTAGACTAGTTCTACTATCTGACCAAGTTTGAAAGAAAAATGTTGAAAACTCGCAGAGATATTTAATAAAATACATTTCGCTGTAATAAGAAAAACATTGAAAATGTAATATTCAAATTCAATTTTCTCCCGAAAAATTTTACGGTAATTACTGATTTTCAAACGAGTTGTGCTCCTGCGGGTTTTAACCAATTTTTCTCAAATTTTCACAGGACATAGCTAAAGACGTCAGTTTCAAAATTGTGTTCGGCTTTGTTCTAATTTTGGATATTTTAAAAATAAAGAGCAATTCACTCAAACGATTCAGAAATATATTGCAGTCGTCAAAGAAATCGCCATATCAGCGGAATGACGAAATAAACAAAAATTTCCGAACACAATTTTTTAGAACAACTATTTTACTGTATAAAAATGATATTTTCATAAATATAACTTAAAACCAGCAGGAGCACAACTCGAAAGCGTCACGGTACTGCGATTTAAAATTTTCCCGAATAATTCTTACATTATTTTATTGTTTGTTAATTTTACAACTTTACCACATTTTGCATGCACTGGAGAACATTTGGTGAAAATTTGATGAAAATCGGACTGATATTGAGCGCGCAGTAGCGATTTTCCGCAAAACGCCAAAAAGGGTGTCCTGTAACCTTAATGATATAATGAATAATGAATAATGAATACACTATTTTATTTTTTAAGCTGCAAACAAACAAACTTAGAAAGCATATATGTCAAATAGTGCTTTATCTGTATAAAACTATTGCTAAAATGAAGCGATTTTTGATGGTACTCCAAAGCGAAAATGCTGTCTGAAGTTCAGTAAGTTTTGCTTATATTCCTGCATAAATATAGCGTCAATTTGACAGCATCAATGCCAATGGACAATAATAATTATATTTAAATTGACAATATTTTACTATTAATGTATTATTTTGTGTTTCTCAACCGCCAGATACATTTAAAAAGGTTACTAATTGTGTAAACTACGAAATAAAGCTAGAACAAAGTAATTTTGAGAGGAACGCCGGAACGATTGTAGATTTTGAACACTTTTAATTCATTATAAATACGTGACATTTAAAATAATTGCCTCATAAGTATTTTTCGCTGGCCACCTTCATGCATTCACGACCCAACGTTTCGGACACTCGAGTCTACTGTCTTCAGTCCCCAGTGTTCCTTGATGTTTTTCAGTTCAATATGTCTGTAGTAGAGAGGTCCGATTGTACAACATGATCTAACATTTTGAATTACTGAACCATATTGAAAATTCCAGTACTAATATTACACCATATTATAGATTGCAAATGAACTCAATAGGCTACAACAATTATATGCAGATTGTTATTATCAGGCTAAGATGACATAGAGATTACAAATTAGCCCAATTGTCCTTTACCAGCTGGGGCAAGGGGGGCAAAGGTGCCTTTTCAATATAAAGGATTGCCTTGGCAAAATAGCGAATTGTCCGAAATGTTAGTGCAATTCTTTTACGAATTAATTGCTTCAGCCTGAAACGCAAGAAATGCAAGAAATGCAGTCATCGAGCTTCAAGAATACCAGTTATAGCACAATCGCCTGGCGGAGAATCCCCTCACACCCCTATCATCCAATAAATAGAAAACATGATTAGGCGAAGTTCAACTCCCAATGTTTTGTAAACATCTCCTAGTATATATCAATTCAAAAGTGTCCTTTCACGAAAATCTGCCCCCCTTGCCTTCACATCGTTCCGGCGTCCCTGGTAATTGTCATTCATCGCCTTCTTTGTTTGAAGCTAGACTAAGTGCAATTATTTACGAAACTAAACTAAGTTAACTTTGTTTATACGACATGAATAGTTCTACCAGTTCTAAACTCCATGAAGTACAGTTTTAGTTTAGAACTGAAACGAAAAGACGTACGCCGCGAAGGCGCAAAATATGATAAAGAAAAGAACGAAGAACAATCTATCGAAGACTTCCATTGTATAGTGCCAGTCCTCTTTCATCTCGCTCGCGACACTTTCCTCCTCCAAATGCGCGGATAATTTTTGTAACTCGACTAAGATCTTCTGTTCTGTAAGTGGCTTTCGTCCGGCGGGAATCTGGCCTGCGAAATCCCGCAGATTGATGTATTGTGCCGACGATTCGCTGAATGATATCTCCTCAAAATTGAACTTCACTCGCTTTGCAAGTGATGGTTTCTTCATGCAAACTGCGACCGCGATGCAGTCTCTGATTTTTGCCAAGCACCGTGGAACAGGCACGCCTGAGGATACGTGATTTAAGCGAAGTATAAAGGCCGTTGCCAGGAGAGCTAGCACAGTAGTTGCAGCAATGGAAATAAAGAGTTCAGTTACCATCGGAATCGCATCGGAGGTGACCGGTGTACGATCGTTCACGATAAGCATGAACACGACAAGTCCGAGCAGCACCGAAATGACAAGAGAAACTCTTTCTCCTGAATCGGCTGGAAATAGGAACGAAACACAAGTGAGCAAGGACAAGAGCATGGACGGGATAATAATGGTCATGATATAATACAATGCTTTACGTTCGAACTCCAAACTGTATTCTATATCAACAAACGGTGCAGGACAGCATTTATAGTACACTGAGTTCCTTTTAGAGGTGACTGATTTCAATTTCCACTCCGAATTCTCTTTATGCTGCGCTAAATCGATGCCATCGTTGTCAACTAGCTGTAGGTCAAGCGCTTGCCCGTCGTAACTCCAAGACGCGAGCTTTATCTTGCATTTCTGCCTGTCAAAAGGGAACTTCGAGACGTCGATAGGGCAAGCGGAGTGTAAGATTGCTGTTATGGCCCAGGCTACATACCCGTCTAAAGTCACTGCGATTCTGAACTTCTCATTGGATATATGACCTTCGTCTCCTTTCACACTACAAAAAAAAATACCGTGGGCATTTTTTATTCATGTTTCAATGTGGCGTAAGGGATTTGTAGCTTTAAAGTTTGTTCGTTCACTGCAACCAGGTATATCAATCATGTTTCGCTCGCTACTCTGGTTTAAATAGGAAATAATTACAAAGCCCAGTCGAATTCAGGTAAAGCTGTCTATCTTTTTAAATTGTTCTCGGTATAACTTCATAAAACATCATTCCTGATTTGTTTGATGTTACTGCATCATGCATTGAACGATTTTCATGGTTATATCCAAGATGGTATTCTGACTGATGAGCCCTGTAGTGAAGACTTACTTGTCCTGGAGTACAATGTCAGGGGTCCATATTCGTGATGGACGAAGGTTGAGAACTGATTGTCCGCCATAATCACTGGCATTCCATCGCAGGAGGTCGTCCTTCCAGGTCTAGAAAATAGAAAAATATTCACTCTGTCATTATTTCAATTTCAACAGTTCTCAATCAGAAAACTAAACTAACTTTATCTATACTGGATAGCTAGCTTTTGTCCTTCTCAAGTCTGATTTACATACGGTCGTAACTGTCGCGAACATGTTGTACTACTGTCGTCAGAGTCAGGGGCGGATAAGCAACATCGGTGTTACCGGGCTTTAACGTAAAAGGCCCCCTGGTGACGTCATGACCAAGCGGAATATCAGCGAGTTTTCTTTTTCTGTGACTTACATTATAATCAAGTTAAAGAAAAATTATATTTCTATAATGTTATATAAAGATAATCATTACCAAATATTATATTTCATATTATCATACTGTATACAGCTCACGGCAAAGTTCACGACACTTCACAACAGTGTCGTCGAGATAGACTCGAGTTCTATCTTGACCGACTTGACGACAGTTGCGACAGGCCAAAAACGTGTCGTGACGATTATTTTTTAATGGAAACAGGAAAACGACAGCGTGGCAACAGTTTTGCGACGATCAGGGGAGGGGGACAAAGGTCCTCTTTTTAAAACTGCCGCCAGCTACTTGTACGATCCCTCATGGGTACGAAATTAACTTACGACAGTGCAGCACTGTCGCAAGATAATTTCGTGTCATTGCACGAAATTCTCAGGACAGTTTCAACAATATGGAAATAAGCACAATAATCATTCACGACAAACACTTAACGACACGTTCGTGACTGCATCTCTCTTATTGGGTCGGTGTTATTCTGAAACCACTTACCAGTGCTATCCACACGAGCGAGTGAAGAACTTGCGTTGGTTCGTCCTAACAAGGAAGAAAGTATAGATATAGTTATCCTTAAACAGCAAAGCAAATATATTTGGATCACTATCACCGATCAAGAAACACATAAAACTCTCGAAAGAGGTGTTTTTAACTAGTCGAAATTACAGCAAACATTGCATCGCGAGGAGAGAGTTTGTATATCAGATATAAATCGAATGCGAATGTTTTATCGTACTTAAAAAATGACCCATCTTATGAGTTCATTGGCTTAGTAATTTTGAAAATAAACATTGTCTAAGCCGAGAAAATCAAAGCTGAAGTTTATGTAAATCAGGACAAATCTTTATCCGATTAGCAAACATTGATTAAACATTCATTTCTTTTGTATTTAATTTCCTCGTGAATTATTAATGAATTTTTAAAGAGGAGATATAGGATTCAATATTTTGAATTGATTACAAATTCGTGATCAGACAATATCAATCAGTATCAATCAATACCAATCAAAACCAATCAAGTCGAATCAATCGAAGTGACTCACCAAATCCTGTAATTGGTTGTATGCAAGTTTAACTTTCACAGTCAGAACTTCGGAAGCATTCTTCACTGGCCTAGCATCTGAATCGTAGTTCTTCAACAAGTCATGTATTAAGCGCGCTTCATCCCTCTTCGTTCCATCACTGACTGTACGCGAAAGACCATAGAAATAGAATGCTTCTTACTATCTGTTTTAAGGCCCTCTCAGTCCAGTGGTGCCTGAATTACTTTGAATTTGCACTCGAGTAAAAGTAGAAGTAATTAATAATAAAACGACTTGAGTAAGAGTAAAAAGTGCTGGAGGCAAAACAGGCGTACTTAAATAAAAAGTACAAAGTATCCTTAAAAAATACTTGAAGTACAAAGTACTATTGTCTATAGCGTGTATGGGGGGGGAGGACTTCTCCAATGGATTGCAAAATTATTAAAAGACACAAAACAGCACACGCATTATATGCGTGCACCATAATATACAATATTTCACGGCATGGTCTACTTTCCACACCCCGTTGAAGTTAAGTAAGCCACAAACGGGATCCCAGACACATATACAGGTCCTATTACCTATCCCAAAATTAAAATAAATCCGGAATAAATCACGTAAAATTAAACAAATGTGAGAAAGTAACGAAATACTTCGCCATAAAATGAAAATAACGAAGTAAAACGTTACTTCTTAAAACGACTTCGTTCCAAGTGAAAGTACTCCAGAAAAAGTTTACTTTGTTACATGCTAAGTGCTAACTTCTCAAAAATAATGCTCAATTACAGTAACGAAGTACATTTACTTCGTTACTTGACACCATTGCCTCGGCACACAATTGCGTATGAGGGAAGCGTATGAGAATTACCGTATGAAAATTAATGAAATAATTTTCATACGCACAAAAATCCTTTGAAATGCCAGCGTATGAGTACCGTACATCTGGCGTACCTCTAGCGTATTCAGCGTGTGCCTAGAGTATGCTTATCGTATGAAGCATACGTCCGATACGTACAAAATTTTTGAGCATGCTTAAAAAAATTTTCTGCCTCGCCGTATGCCACCGTACGCGACCGTGCTTGAAACATATACAAGCTATGCCTAACGTACCCCTAGCGTATGTCAGCGCGTATACCGGCGTATGAGTGATATATTTCATACGCTGGCATATGCTAGTACGATACGCAATAGTGTGACAGGGCCTTTAGACTCATATAATTGTTTTAATACTGGGTTTTGGTGTCACAACACAGTGACAATTCCTGTAATTTTACTTCCCATCACCCCCTGCACGCATAAACTAAATTGGCATTGCCTATTGATAAGGGGTCAATGGCTTATACTCCTCTGGGCCGGACGAGTTTAGAACTGATAAAGCTATTTCGCAATATAAATAAAGCTACAGGTAATTAATAGACCAAAGGCAGGGAATAGAAAATCTAAGAAGAAAACTTTTCTTAGAAAAGAAAAGTTTTTTCCTTCCATAAATATTTTCCTGATATCTGAAAAGTTTTCAGGAATAAAGTTTGGAAGTTCAGTGGTGGTATCATTTTTACCTGTATATAGTGCGTGGCGGTAAACATATTCAAAAAAACAAGCGAAACAAAGTTTCCTACATATGTCGAAATATTGGCGAGCTTACCTTTTAAATTTGCGAACAACAAGATCAATCCAACGAAAGCATTAAAAACTATCGTTTCGTAGTCACCCATGGAGAAATCGAGTTTTTCTCGTGACGATTTATACGTTTTCGTATAGCGCACAGCCGTTGCTAATCGAATAATTAAACACGCTGAGAACCTCTACTTGACTATACTTTGATCGTAAATACACGGAAGACTAAACACCCGCTTTTTGTGGTAATAATTCATAAATTATTAAGAGGAGAATCGTTCGGTATGATACGTAAATATAGGCCTGTTTCAAACATCGCATGTGTCGAATTCAATTGCTTGAATTATGCGCATGCAAAATTCGACGTTTGAAACTAAATGCGACGTTTTCAGTTAATTGCGGTCGACCTTAACTTTAAATTCGATCCGACCGGTCGCATATTGCGAGATAAGTGCGAGCTTAATTGTCGTAGATACGGCAAAATATCGGAAACTGATTTAGACGACGTCAAACTTAATTGTACCGTACCAAATTCTAATATGTGACAATCATATTATAATGTTAAAAAATAATTATGCATTAGGTTCGGCGCATGAAAAGCACGGTGTCTAAATCAATGTCGAACCTGTGTCGCATATATACGACTTGTCTTGTCGCATCTTCGAGTCGAGTCGAACTTAATCAAAACCTGCCGAACTTAATTGATTTAGGCGTCGCTCCAGCGTCGCGGCTTAGTTTAATCATTGCATTAGATTCGGTGCATGAAAAGTTCGCCGTCTAAAACAGGCCTCAGACTTCGCATTTTGCCATGTGTCGAATTCAATTCTGCTTGGGTGGGGCTCGCGGAAAACGTCTGGAACGAGGTAAAAGAGAGACGGCAGTTAAGGCCTAATTCCACGACGAGAGAAATGCGAAAAATTTCGCGCGCGAAAACAGACTTGTGAGAAAATTTTCTCTCATAGTGATTTCCACAGTAGAGAAACTGAAATTCGCCAAAACACAAGCATTTGATTGCATGGTTTCGCTTTTTTGTCACCCAGAACACAAGCATTTGATTGGCTTCGCTATTTCCATTTCGCAACGGAGTAGAAACGAATTCAACTGCCCGGCGAAGAGAAATATTTCGCCGAGAAACATTCCAAAATCATGTTGCGCACGCGTTCGACCTTTTCGCGCGAAATTTTTCGCATTTCGCTCGTCGTGGAATTAGACCGATTTAATGGATCAAATTTCGCGTGTAGGACATATAATGGTAATAGTTCCATGTTTTTTGTGTGTGCTTGTGTGAAAAATAGTCAAGCCTGATGTGAGTTTATATACAAGCGAAAATAAAGTGATTTAAATAAGGCTATGTTTACATTGCATCGAATCACTTTGCGTCCGACGCAATGGTGCGGCGGTTAACGTTCGCTCTTCGAAGTGGTGTGCGGTGTATCGGATTGGTTTTTGCAACTCTCATTGTAATGTAAACAGCAATCGGAGCAATTTTCGGTTCAATGCGTGACTCAAGATGGCGTCTAGCAAACAAAAACTTGCTATTTTAATGCAATATTTTAGTTGTAGTTGGTAAATATATACAAGAAAATACGACGGCATATAGAAGAGCGGGGGGGGGAAGCTGTTTACACTTGGGGCGTAACGTTTCCACGCAAACGAAGCAAAAACCGATCCGATACAACGTAAACATAGCCTAAAAGACGAGCCACGGCTTATTTCGCTGGTATAGTCGTAAATGGCCCTACTGACATACTGTGTTAATTTTTAACTGAGCTGAAACTTCGCTCTTGTTGTTTACGTTAAACCACAGGTTAACGCTAAGTGCGTGTCTACAACGCTACAATTTCGAGTTAAATGCATGCAAAATGCGACGTTGAATTTCATTGAGTTCGCTCGAATCAAATGCGAATTGCATTCGACACATGCCGAAAATTCGACGTTTGAACCTGGCCTTCACATGCGTTCAACACTAATGCAATGAATACTGATACTATTCAGTTATGACTACATTCTATTTTACTTTTTAGTCATATAATGAATAATAATTATACTAAATTTTATTTTTTGATACGGCAAACAAACTTACAAAGTATGTTTAGTGCTTTATTTATCTGTAAAATAATGCTAAAATGAAGGCATTAAAATACGGAATTTTTACAAGGACGTACACACTTTGCCTTCAGAGGCGTATTTTTGGTATAAATGCGCAGACTCACGAGAACGAGTGCCGAAGCCACAAGTTTAGCGTCGAAGACGCAAGCTTTTAAGGGGGTCTCTGAAATGGCATTTCCAGAGTTCTGAGAACAGAATTTGCAAAATCTTTCAAGTACACACTTTTCAATTTACAAGGGCGCATTCGCCTTTTACAAGGACACAAAGTGTGTACAGGGACACGCTATTTTAATGCCTGCAGTAAAATGAAGCGATTTTAGATGGTACGCCAAAGAGAAATGTTTTCTGAGGTTCAGTAAGTTTAACTTAATATATTCCTGTATAAATATGGCGTCAATTTTACAGCATCAATGCCAATGGACAATGATAATTGTATTTATAATTTAAATGCTTCTCAACTTTAAGTGCTTCTCAACCGTTAGATGCATAATGATTTAAATAGGTTGCTAACTGTGTAAACTACAAAATACTGTAACGCTAAAACAAAGTAATTTTGAGAGAAACGCAAAAAAGATTGTAGATTTGGAACACGTTATTAATTAATCAGTTTCATTGCAAACACGTGACTTAATTTCAAAATAATTGCCTCTTATATAAGTATTCAGTTTTCCGCTCGCCACTTTCCGCATTCACGACCCAACGTTTCCGAGACCCCAGTCTAGTGTCTTCAGTCCCCTGCAGTGTTCCTTGATGTTTTTCCAATATGTCTGCATGTACAGTAGTGTGGTGGGGAGGTCGGATTGCACAATATGATCTAACATTTTGAATTACTGAACCATATTGAAAATTTCAGGACTAATATTACACCATATTCATTGCAAATCAACCCAATAGGCAATTGCAGATTGTTCTTATCAGACTAAGACGATATAGAGATTACAAATTAACCCAATAAGCTACAACATCGCCTTTGTTATAGAGCCTCATTTTCGTGATCAGTTGTGACGTTGGCTTTTAACTGATGTCAGATACATGAAAACGAGGCACTATCGTCAACGTGATATACTTTCCGGAAGGGTGGTGTATCACAGAATACTCTCGTCAGGCTAAAACGAAAAGACATAAGCAACGAACCCTATGAAAATGAAAAAGAAAATCACGAAGAAGAATCTATCAAACACTGTCATCGTGTAGTGCCAGTCCGCTTTGATTTTGCTCGCTGCATTCTCCTCTTCCAAATGTGCTGTGATTTTTTGCATTTCTGTCAAGATCTTTTCCTCAGCCAGTTGTTTTCGTAAAGAGGTCAGTCCAACGAGATCTCGTATGTTTAAAGGCCAATGTCGATGATAGCCATTGCTTGTAACCTTGTGAAGAAAGATTAAATTAAGGTTACAGAACACCTTTGAGTGTTAATTTTGTCTAAAATTTTTTTATTGGTTTCCATGAAAGCATTAGACTAGTTCTACTATCTGACCAAGTTTGAACGAAAAATGTTGAAAATTCGCGAAGTTATTTAATAAAATACATTTCGCTGCAATAAGAAAAGCATTGAAAACGTAATATTCAAATTCAATTTTCTCCCGAAAATGTTTACGGTAATTACTGATTTTCAAACGAGTTGTGCCCCTGCGGGTTTTAACCAATTTTTCTCACATTTTCACACGACATAGCTCAAGACGTCAGTTTCAAAATTGTGTTCGGCTTTTTTTTAATTTTGTATATTTTAAAAACAAAGAGCAATTCACTCAAACAATTCAGAAATATATTGCAGTCGTCAAAGAAATCGCCATATCAGCGGAATGACGAAATAAACAAAAATTTCCGAACACGTTTTTTTAGAACAACTATTTTACTGTATAAAAATGATATTTTCATAAATATAACTTAAAACCAGCAGGAGCACAACTCAAAAGCGTAACGGCACCGCGATTTAAGATTTTCCTGAATAAGTCTTACATTATTTTATTGTTTGTTAATTTTACAACTTTACCATATTTTGCATGCACTGGAGAACATTTGGTGAAAATTTGATGAAAATCGGACTGATATTGAGCGCGCAGTAGTGATTTTCCGCAAAACGCCAAAAAGGGTGTCCTGTAACCTTAATGCCGTGCCTTCAACGGGAAATCATATTTGCACATTTAGTTTGTGTTTGTTTGTTTGTTTGCTTACTTGCTTGCTTTTGCCTGCTTGCTTGCTTTCTTGCTTGCTTGTTTGCTTGCTTGCTTCCTTGCTTCTTGATTGCTTGCTTGTTTGTTTGCTTGCTTGTTTGTTTGTTTGTTTGTTTGTTTGTTTGTTTGTTTGTTTGTTTGTTTGTTTGTTTGTTTGTTTGTTTGTTTGTTTGTTTGTTTGTTTGTTTGTTTGTGTTGTTTGTTTGTTTGTTTGTTTGTTTGTTTGTTTGTTTGTTTGTTTGTTTGTTTGTTTGTTTGTTTGTTTGTTGTTTGTTTGTTTGTTTGTTTGTTTGTTTGTTTGTTTGTTTGTTTGTTTGTTTGTTTGTTTGTTTGTTTGTTTGTTTGTTTGTTTGCCTGCTTGCTTGCTTGCTTGCTTCTTTACTTGCTTGCTTGTTTGTTTGTTTTGTCAAGATGTGTATATATGTACACGCGTCAAAACGCACAGCCTGTTTCCAGTTGATATCGACAGACTTAAACCTGAAGGCCTCAAAATAAGTTGTCACTTTTCTTTGTTTGCTTGCGATTTTCTTTTTCTGATGTATGTGAACGAGTGGATGCGATTCCTTACTCATCTACACGTTTATATACGACACTGAGTATAGTCCAGCGGATATGTACATATATTTGAGAAAATCATGCACTTTGTGAAGAAAGCACCAAATTCGCAGGAAGTGTAGACTTTAACATGATAATGAATCTTAGATATGGAGGCATCACCAAAATTGATGCTGACGGCTTAAAATTTAGGATTTCTTATATTCTCTTATTAATCTCTTATACAATTAAAAATTGTGAAATTGCAGGTTCACATATAGCAAAAATGACATGCGTCATTAGAAAGCTTACAAAAAAACTGTATATAACACATTTAAGCAGTTACTTTGATTTTCCAACTCCTCTGGAGTTATAAGCGGTTGAAAATATGCTTTAGGGCTAGTGTCCAGGACGTTGGCGAGATTTTTGCCTATTTCACGTTTTTAAATAGCAATAACTAGAAAACCGCTTGGAAAATCAATCAGCCGTTTAAAAGTCTTATATGTAGTTTTTTGTAAGCTTTCTAATCATGCAAGTCATTTTTGCTATATGTGAACCTGCAATTTCACAATTTTAAACAGTAATAGAGTTTAATAAGAGAATATAAGAAATCCTAAATTTTAAGCCGTCAGCATCAATTTTGGTGATGCCATCATATCTAAGATTCATTATCATGTTAAAGTCTACACTTCCTGTGAATTGGGTGCTTTCTTCACAAAGTGCATGATTTTTTACTTTTCCGCTGGACTAGTAGAAGAAAATTGCGCGAGAACTTTAGGGTGCAGCACAACCTTGTTCAAGCCTGTCGATATCAACCGGGAACAGGTTTTCGTTTCTACATACGTGTATGCATACCTGTGACTCGGTCAGCAGTATATCCTCAAAATTCACATCAACTCGTTGCCTTGGTGATTCGCGTCTCATGCAAAGTGGGCCAGCGATACAGTCTCTGATACACGCAAGAAAATTTGGAACTGGTTCCGATGTGGATGCGTGGTTTAAGCGGAGTATAAAGGCAGTTGCCATCAAAGCAAGGACTGTGCTCGCACCAATCGAGTTAAAGAATTGCGTCAGCATCGGAGTGGCGTCGGAGGTGACCGGCGTACGTTCGTTAACGATTAGCATAAACACGACAAGGCCGAGTAGAACTGAGATTACAAGAGAAAGACGTTCTCCCGAGTCGGCGGGGAATAGAAACGAAATACATGAAAGTAATGACAGAAGAACAGAAGGAAAGACAATCGTCATTATATAGTATAGTGGCTTCCGTCGAAATTCCAGTGTGTAGGTTAGATCAATATACGGCGCAGGGCAGCATTCGTATTTGACCGAATGTCTTTCGACATGCGCTGATTTTAGTTCCCAAACAGAATTTGCTTCCAAATTGGCTAAGTTTATTCCATTTGTAGACTCTAGTAGCTGTAGATCGAGGTCCAAGCCATCATAAACCCAAGAACCGATCTTGAGTATGCATTTCTGAGTATCGAAAGGAAAATATTCGATGTTGACTGGGCATACTGATTCCAAGATGAGAGGGCAATCCAGTGCGGCACTTCCGTCGGAGCTAACCCTGACTTGATAGGAGAGGTCGTAGATGGCTGCGCCATCTTTGTTAGCACTAGAAAAGAATTGAAGGAAATCGATAGGCTCAAGAAGAAACTAGGAAAGAGACAACTGCGCTGTAACCGGCAGAGATACAACTACAGTCGCTAACTCAAACTCTCATGGGAAACGAAAAATTGTTCGCAGTTCTCGGCTGTTGTCGTCACTGCCGACACTGGCCGACCATTCTAAAATAGGAAACACGCATTGTTGCATGTGGAATCGTCTGAAAATATTGACCTGATCCTATTTTATATCTGACCCTCTTGGACATCATTGCCGAACAGATCTTTCCTGTCCGAGAAGCAAAAATGTTTCCCCCAAAAATTCGGAGAAATATTGTATTTGTAAGACAGTGGGATTGTTTTCTGGCAAATATTGCCTTCTTGACTGACCAAACTTAACGGTTTGACTTACTTGTTATAAAGTGTCAAATCAGGCTTCCAAATCCGAGTTGGGCTGAGATGGATTTTTGTGATTCCTCCATAGTCGCTGGCGTTCCATTTTAAATACACATCTTGCCAATACTACATGCAAAGAAAGAAGTTTGTGTCTGATATAACACTGTCTTGCTTCCCGTGAAATCATTAACTTTTACTTGGCTTTAATTAAGGTACTCATTAGCAGGGAACATAGCCATTATGATCCAATTACTACACGGAATTGTTTTACACATAAGCTCTCTATAAGATGAGCCTTGCAGTAATAGAATCTTGCACGAAACATATTACTCAAATTTTAAAATATTAAGTTTAAACAAAGAAAAATAAAACGAAAAATTATCTTACCGTATTGATCCATACGAGCGATCTTGCTACTTGAGTCGGCTCGTCCTAAACCAAGGAATGTTTTGAACACTATTAAAACCGAGATAAACAAATATTGTTTCGGGAACAATGTTTCGTGGTTGACGCACCTTCGAGAAACACGCATGGCTGTAGTATTTATACATACAGACATACATACATACAAAAATTTATTTAAGCACGCGCTGGCCTCAATAACTCGGAGCTAGCTGATTTCCATGAGGGGCGTGATTTGGAGAGAGTATACTGTACAGATAAACATTAAAAATACAAAAACAAAGAAAGAAGAATTACATATACAGTAGGCAACAGGACGAGCCAATTTTAAGTGCTTGCCTGATTAATAGTTCTTTGAAAAGAACTTAAAACCTAAAGATTCCGCTACTTTCACAACAAGTTTGCCTAGGCAGGGAGAGTGTACTTTTGGAAAGATGAGCAGGAAACATTAACTGTTCCCATGATAGTATTCAGCCCTAGTTTTCCCAGCGCTACCTTCCCAGCCCAAGGTTTAAAAATTCCGAACGCAAAAGGCGCAGCATAGTCTATCAAGATATAATAGTCTAGAAACTGAACTGAAATCATTCTGTTATGTTTTTGTCTGAGTTCATGTTAGTTTGTACAATGAGGTAATGGTCCAATGAGTTGAGATCTTGCAACCACGATGAATAATGTTTAATGAAATTGAGACAAAGGATTTGTGCACGCCTGACGCATGAGGTACAGTTCAACATCAAGCAAAGGCCTTCTATCTTGTAGCTTTGAAATTTGTCGGGTTTCCAAACTATCATATCTTGACAGACTATATAGAGGCAGTAACTTAATTTTTCGTTCGCAGATTAAAATCCATATTTAATTACCAAATCCTGTAGCTGGTTGTAAGTCATAGACAATCTCACAGTTAGTGGATCTGAAGCATTTTTCACTGGCCTTGCATCAGGATCGTAATCTTGCAACAAGTCACGAATCAAGCGAGCTTTGTGCCCTCTACCTGCGTCAACACAAACTAAATCAAAACATTAAAAGTTGGGATGTCTTTATACGCACGTAAAAACGGTGCAAGTTGCTACAGACCTGCCCACCAGTTATAACAAGGTTGTTGTTAAGGATGTATTCGCATTGCACAATCCCAGTTGCTGCAACAAGGCTGGAACAAGTTGTTATTGACTTGTTACAAGTTGGATGACGGCAACAGACTTGCTACAAAAGTTCTTCCAACAAGACATACAGGCTGTTAGTCACAAGTTGCTACGTTGTCATCGATTTGTTAACAACGTGTTACGTGGAGGCACGATACCAGAAATATTGGAACAACTTGTTGCGAGTCTGTTGGCCTTGTCAACCGTGTTGCTAGATGATAACAACTTGTTCCAGACTTGTCAACACACACTGAGTCAATACCTCAAAGGGCGCAAAGACCTCAAACATTTCTTACAAATCCTTCAAAATTAAGAATTTAACTTTGATAGTACAAATCAGCCTTAACGGATTGCCTTGCTCGTAAAATAAGCGTTTTTCATCTAGTTTTTTCAAGAAGTTCAGACACCAAAACTATGCAACCTTATTATTACTAAGATACCGTATCTATTATTGAAAATAATAAAAATATGTTTGCGTGTTGAAATTTTAATTCTAAGTGTACTTCCCTACCTTTTGAAAATACAGCCAATGAAAAGACCGTCACAAGAATTTTTAATATAATTTTATAATTTCCCATGAAAACAACGATATTCAAAGTCAACTTTTTAGTTTTTCCACAGTGTTATGACGTGATATCATTTAAACCCTAACATATAAACATACTGAGTTCGCATTGAAGCATGTCGACAGCAATTTGTGATGAGGGATTACCCCTGCGTTTTGCGGTTCGATCAACCATTAATTTTTTATAAACCCCAGGCCGGTAGTAACATATTAAAATTATTGTATCAATTCAATTTTGGGACAATTCACGGCTGCTATAATATAATAATTAATTTCGTCATTTAAGTTTTAAAGAAAGTTCTATGCGAATACGAATGCTTTCTCCGTTCGTTTGCAATCTTATATCACATGCAAAATACTCTTAATAAAATTGCCTGCGTGGTATTAATTAATACTTAAAAGAGATTAATATTAGAATATGAATCAATATTCCTTTGCTATTGCAGGGCGGATAACTGTAATCATATTCCTAATATACGTGATAAATTATAATTGAAGAATTTTATTAGTTTCTGGCCGTCCTCATTTGTTTTATATTTACCAATTTATATTTATTGCTTAACACACCAAAGTTACCGGTAACATGACGTAGCGAGCAGGTATAGATGCCACAACCTCACGGAATTTAAACAAATCTTACATTTATGGAAAGTTCAAAATTGAAACTGTCTTCTACAAAATCCAAATGATATGCAAAACTCATTAAAACTTCACTGTTCTTCTTAGATTGGTTTCCATTGCGACAGGCTAAAAACGCGTCGTGACGATTATTTTTTAATGGAACAGGAAAACGACAGCGTGGCAATAGTTTGGAGACAATCAGAGCAGTGGGGGACAAAGGTCCTCGTTTTAAAACTGTCGCCAGCTACTTGTACGATCACTGGGTAAGAAATTAACTTGCGACAGTGCACGACAGTGTCAAGACAGTTCCAACCATATGGAAGCCAGGTTAGAGGTCCAGGAAGGATCATCTCTCTAGCTTATTGGTTTGGTGTTATTCTGCAAAATTTTCGTTGTAATATGTTGTAACTTACGCTGTAAAACGCTACGTGCCGGTACGATATACGATTGAAGTGGAACACTGGCTTAAACTGCATTATCACGTCTTTCACAAGCATCGTGAAAGCTTATTGCGACCCGGCAGGAGGTGTTTTTAAAGTCGAAATTACAGTTTATCAAATTGCTTTGCTCTCATTCTTGAGCTGAAATTCACACCGCGGCATTGAAGTCGCACACTACTATAAAGTAGGAAACAAACTCGGAATGGAATTTCCATCTAGAAAGTCAGTATTCGAGAAAAACAAGAGGGGATAACCTTCAAAACTTTGAACTTATTATAAATTCATCATCAATCAATATCAATCAATATCAATCAGTATCGATCAGTATCAATCAATACCAATCAAGATCAATCAATCGAAGTGACTCACCAGATCTTGTAATTGGTTGTATGTAAATTTAGGCTGAAGTTTCATGTAAGAGTCCCCACGTCATAATTATTCGTTCTACATGTTATGTTATGCAATACGTTTCAGGCTTGCTTTGTTTACATTAGGCGTTTTGCTAGCATGAGCGCTAGGGCCTGCGAGGGCTGCTGGTTCCTAGCGTTCTTGCTGTTCCTAGCGTTGTAACCGTTGTTGCAGTCCCTAGCGTTCTTGTCGTTCCTAGCGTTCTTGTCGTTCCAGGCATTCTTGTCGTTCCTAGCGTTCTTGTCGTTCCTAGCGTTCTTGTCGTTCCTAGCGTTCTTGCTGTTCTTGCTGTTCCTAGCATTCTTGTCGTTCCTAGCGTTCTTCCTGTTCTTGCTGTTCCTAGCGTTCTTGTCGTTCCTAGCGTTCTTCCTGTCCTTGCTGTTCCTAGCGTTCTTGTCGTTCCTAGCGTTCTTCCTGTTCTTGTCGTTCCTAGCGTTCTTGTCGTTCCTAGCGTTCTTGTCGTTTCTAGCGTTCTTCCTGTTCTTGCTGTTCCTAGCATTCTTGTCGTTCCTAGCGTTCTTGCTGTTCTTGCTGTTCTTGCTGTTCTTGCTGTTCCTAGAGTTCTTGTCGTTCCTAGCGTTGTTCCTGTTCTTGCTGTTTCTAGCGTTCTTGTTGTTCCTAGCGTTCTTGCTGTCGTTGCTGTTCCTAGCGTTATTCTTGCCGTCCCTAGCGTTCTTCCTGTTCTTGCCGTCCCTACCGTTCTCCCTGTTCTTGTTGTTCCTACCGTTCTCGCCTACCGGTCTCTCATTGCAAGTACGCGACATTCAAACTAATTGCGCGACATTCAAGCTCTTTTTAAGTATTTTTTCTCTCGCTACCGTCCTTCTGCATTTACGACCCACCGTTTCGAGCGTTTTCGATTGGGCTAGCTTTGCATTAATTTATTGAACTCACAAACTTTAAATTTTTACTGAAGTAATTCGATTTACTGCCTTTGATTTTAATTCAATATGTCTGTGGTAGACAGGTCCGATTGTACAAAATGATCTAAAATTTTGAATTACTGAACCATATTGAAAATTCCAGTACTAATATTGCACCATACAGATTACAAATTAACCCAATAGGCTACAACAATTATAAATTGTTTTTATCTGGGTAAGACGACAAAGAGATTACAAAATAGCCCAATAAGCTATACACAACATCACCTTTGATATGGAGCCTCGATTTTGTGATTGAGACGTTGACTTTTAAAGATGCGATACAGTCCGTATGTAAACAAAGGCTTTGTTTACATTTCGGTATGCAAAACATTGAATTTTATTCGACAACTATTTATATTTTCATGATTCTAGAGTATAATAAATTATTAAGAGACAACAATTAAGCTTTGCAAGAACATAAAATGAAATAAAAACCTAAATAAACTGTTTGTAAATAAAAAGAGGGCTCCTTTGTGCACACGCGCAGATCGAACTGTACCGCATCTTTAACTGATGTCAGATATTTATTTATTTTATTTGCTGATTCGCCTAAGATATTGAAATTACACATGAAAGAAATTAATAAACTATTTACAAGAGATGGGCTAGGAGCCTACTAGAAACCATATGGCTTTTGTTTTAGGCCCCACGGTTATAAACGTTTAAGTTTATAAACTAATTAGCAATATAGATTCACGAAAACGAGGCTCTATCGTCAAAGTACGTACTTTCCAGAAATGCGTATCACAGAATACTCTTGTCAGACTAAAATGAAAAGACATAAGCAACGAACGAAATAAAAATGAGAAAGAAAATCACAAAGAAGAATCTATCAAACACTGTCATCGTGTAGTGCCAGTCCGCTTTGATTTTGCTCGTCGTATGCTCCTCTTCCAAATGTGCTGTGATTTTCTGCAGTTCTATCAAGATCTTTTCCTCAGTCTGTTGTTTTCGAAAAGAGGTCAGTCCAACGAGGTCCCGTATGGTTACAGGCCACTGTCGTTGATAGCCATTGCTCGTAACCTTAAGAAGAAAGATTAAATTAATACTTTCAACGGGAGGTCATATTTGCACACAAAGTTTGTTTATTAGTTCGTCCGTCCGTCTGTTCGTTTGTCCGTCCCTCCGTCCGTCCGTCCGTCTGTTCGTTCGTCTGTTTTCTTGTTTCATTGTTTGTTTATTTTTAGTTTGTTTGTTTGTCTGTCTCGTCAACCTCGTACTTTGTGGAGCTAGTATATACATATATACAAAATATATACAAAATATTTATATGGAGTGAGAGGAAGGGCGCATGACTGGTTTAGGTCCTATCTGTCTAATCGTACCCAGTATTGTCAAGTTAATGGCAAACTGTCTGAACCACGAACAATAATTACTGGTATTCCGCAGGGCTCAATTCTTGGACCCTTACTCTTTCTTGTTTACACAGCACGGCCTATTGGAAGATCACATCTTGTAAATATTTTAGTTTTTGTTTTTGTGAAATAGTACCGTGGGTAAATAAAGTTTGATTGATTGATCTGAATGTACAATGAGTCGCTGAGTGCCCTCCACTCCATATTTAATGTAACACGCGTAAAAACGCACGACTGTTCCCGGTTGATATCGACAGGCTTGAACAAAGTTGTGCTTCACCCTAAGAACAAGTTGTCAACAACGTTGTCACAGCATTGTTACAACTGAACGACGCTGTAACAACATTGTTGACAACCTTTCTTAGAGTGCAGCACAATCATGTTCGAGTGTGTCGATATCACCCGGGAACAGGTTGTTCGTTTTTACACGCGTGTATGCATACCTGTGACTCGGTCAGTAGTACATCCTCGAAATTCACATCAACTCGTTGCCTTGGTGATTCGCGTCTCATACAAAATGCGCCAGCGATACAGTCTCTGATGCACGCAAGAACGTTTGGAACTGGTTCCGACGTGGATGCATGATTTAAGCGAAGTATAAAGGCAGTTGCTATCAAAGCAAGGACTGTAGTCGCAGCAATAGAGTTAAAGAATTGCGTCAGCATCGGAGTGGCGTCGGAGGTGACCGGCGTACGTTCGTTTACGATTAGCATGAAGACGACAAGGCCGAGTAGAACTGAGATTACAAGGGAAAGACGTTCTCCTGAGTCGGCGGGGAATAGAAACGAAATACATGAAAGTAGTGACAGAAGAACAGAAGGAAAAATAATCGTCATTATATAGTATAATGGTTTCCGTCGAAATTCCAGTGTGTAGGTTAGATCAATATACGACGCTGGGCAGCATTCGTATTTGACCGAATGTCTTACGGCATGCGCTGATTTTAGTTCCCAAACAGAATTTGCTTCTAAAGTGGTTAAGTCGATTCCTTTTGTAGATTCTGATAGCTGTAGATCGAGGTTGAAGCCATCATAAACCCAAGAACCGATCTTTAGTCGGCATCTCTGAGTATCAAAAGGAAAATTTTTTATGTTGATGGGGCAAACTGATTCCAAGATGAGAGGGCAGCCCAGTCCGACATTTCCTTCGGAGCTCACCGTCACTTGATAGGAGAGATCGTAGATGGCTGCGCCATCTTTGTTAGCACTAGAAAAGTATTGAAGGAAATCGATAAACTACAGAAGAAACTAGGAAAGATTGAGACAGCTGCGCTGTGACCGGCAGAGAAACAACTACAGCTACAATGTTTTTGACAAATATTTCCTGGCCAAACTTAACGGTTTCACTTACTTGTTATAAAGTGTCAAATCAGGCTTCCAAATCCGAGTTGAGCTGAGATGGATTTGCGTGTTTCCTCCATAGTCGCTGGCGTTCCACTTCAAATACACATCCTGCCAAAACTATATGCCAAGAAAAACGTTTGTGTGTGATATAAGACTGTCTTATAATACTTTTGCTTGTGGAAACACCGCGTAAACTTATTACTGCACTGAAAGCTTTCGATCCGTAAGCCCGGATATTCATCATTATTACCACTGATGAAGATCCGGGCTTACGGATCGAAAGCTTTGCAGCAATAAATTTACGTGGTGTTTCCACAAACAAAAGTATTATATGTTTCATATATCGCCACAATCTCGTATCCAGAGCAATGCCTGTGCGCGGGCTAGGATGGCATTGGCTCTGGGGAAATTGAATTTTTTCTGTGCTGTGATTGGTTTAACGTTTTTAATGCAAGGTTTTTAATAAGTCTAATTAAGTCGATCGGAACATATAGATAGTTAGTTTATTGTAGGGATTTTAGATAATGTTATACTATTTTAGATAAAATTGTATTGTAGATATACTGTATATTTTTCAGGGCCCCTAAGGATAACAGTGAACATTCACTGATTGGGTCACCCTGTGTAAATAAAGATCTTACATGAGGGTCTGAATGGGGTTAACTGACTACTGACATTTGCCTGAATTTTTGACTGACAACTGACAAAATATCCTAACTGACTACTGAGAAATGATGAAAAAAATTATAAGTCCGCATTTTGCAGTAACTGACTAATGACAGCTTGCAATATATCGCACTGACAACTGACAATTGGCTTAAATTTTAGCTGACAACTGACACCCAAAGACCCCCATTAAGACCCTCTTACATTACGTTTGTCAATCGTGCATGCCGACAAAGAACCGGAACCCCTAAATTTAGGGGTTCCGGTTGTCAATTTCCCCAGAGCCAATGCCATCCTAGCCCGCGCACAGGCATTGCTCTGGGTACGAGATTGATATCGCCATACAAACGTACAAAGAACTTGTAACATATAAGATGTAACATATAACATGTAACATGTGCACATATAAGCTCCGTAAGATGAGCTTTGCAGTAATAGGATGACAAGACCAAAAAGAAATATATTAATCTTGCACGAAACATATTACTCAAATGTTAAAATAAGTTTAAACAAAGAAAAACAAAACGAAAAATTGTCTTACCATATTGATCCATACGAGCGATCTTGCTACTTGGGTCGGCTCGTCCTAAACCAAGGAATGTTTTGAACATTATTATAACCGAGATAAACAAATATTGTTTCGTGGTTGATGCACCTTCGCGTGGCAGACCGCTGTAGTGTTTATAATTTTCCACAACAAGTTTTCATGGGCAGGGAGAGTATACTTTTGGAAAGATGGACAAGAGACAATATTAACCACGAGTCCACGATGACACTATTTAGCCCTAGTTTTCCCAGCCCAAGGTTTAAAAATTCCGAACTGAAAAGACGCAGCATATATAGTGTATCAAGGTAATATCATGTTCTGGAAACTGAATAGAAGTCATTCATATGTTATTGTTTGAGTTTTTGTTAATTTGTATAATGAAGTAATATAGTCCAATAGACCTTTTCCCCTTTTAAGTGAAATTTTGATCTAGACAAGCCTGGACAAAAATTTCATCACAGCTTGAAAGAGCATCACAAAATTAGTAATATTCCAAAGTATCGTTGCAAAATGTTGTAAAATGCGGATAATATAGCCTTGCGAAGTTTGCCGTTTTTCAGTCATTTTGTATTACGCACGGGAAATTGATAATCAGATGATCAAACTGATTATCAATTTCATTTGTAATACAAAATGACTGAAAAACGGTAAACTTCGCAAGTCTATATTATCCGCATTTTACAACATTTCGCAACGAAACTTTGGAATATTACTAATTTTGTGATGCTCTTTCAAGCTGTGATGAAATTTTTGTCCAGACTTGTCTAGATCAAAATTTCATTCAAAAGGGGGAAGATCTATAGAGATAGCTGAGATCTTGCAACAACGATTGATAATACTTAAAGTGGAAGTCAAGTCCGTTCTGCGCATCGGTTCTGCTCATAACAATGTGAGGACCTCTAAATGTGAACATTGCCCAAATTTCGAATGTTTCGAATTTTTCTGAACATAAACTCTATTTCATATTCATTTAGAAGCATAGCGAACCAAAATGGTGTTAGATATTCAGACAGTACATCATATATTAAAAAATACAGCAGTTCAAAATGTAAACAAACCGTTTGTTTACATTACGGACTTGACTTAAAGGTAATGAAGTTGAGACAAAGGATTTGTGTACGGTTAGGTACAGTTCAACATCAAACAAAGGTCTTCTATTTTGTAGTTTTGAAGTTTGCCAAGCTTCTAGACCATCATATCTTGACAGACTATAGACGCAGTAACTTGATTTTTCGTTATAAGGAATAAAAGCCATATTACATATACATATCTAATTTTCCGTTCAAATACTTACCAAATCCTGTAGCTGGTTGTAAGTCAATGTAAATTTCACAATCAGTGGATCTGAAGCATTTTTCACTGGCCTTGCATCAGGGTCGTAATCTTGCAATAAGTCGCGAATCAAGCGAGCTTTGTGCCCTTTACCTGCGTCAACACGAACTAAATCAAGACATTAAATTTATTTTTATATTTTTATATAGGCATTTATATACTAATATTAAAATATTTTAGTTAAAAGTTGGAATGCCTTTATACGCATGTAAACACTGTGCAAATTGTTACACGTACACCTGTAACAAGGTTGCTGTACGTGTCAAGGCTGAAACAAGTTGTTATCGCCTTGTTACGAGTTGGATGACGGTAACAGACTTGCTATACAATTTATTTTAACGCGAAAAAAAATATTTTAAGTTATTTTTATTTTTATAAGTTATTTTAACGACTAATGCAGGCTGTTCGTCACAGGTTGCTACGAACTTGTTGTCAACGATTTGCTAACGTGTTACGAGGCGCAGACGATATCAGAAACATTGGAACAACTTGTTGCGATCGTCTTGGCTTCATCCAGCAACATTGTTGCTAGATGATAACAACTTGTTCCAAGCTTGTCAACAACTGGGAGATTTTTACGGCTCGTGTAATATGCTGCCCTTCACATCTCATAAACGCTGAGACTCAGTCCCTCAAACATTTTTTACAAATCTTCCAAGACTTAGAATTTAACTTTGATAGTATAAACCATGCGCCTCAACGAATTGCCTTGCTCGTAAAATAGGAGTATGCATGTCATGTAGTTTTTTCAAGAACTTCAGACACTAAAACTATATGCCAACTTTATTATTATTATTAAGATACCGTATCTACTGAAAATAATAAATATAAGTCTGCGTGTTGAGATTTTTAATTAGACGTGTACTTCCCTACCTTTTGAAAATACAGCCAATGAAAAGACCGTCACAAGAAGTTTTAATATAATTTTATAATTTTCCATGGAAACAACGATGTTCAAAGTCAACTTTTTAGTTTTTCCACAATGACATGGCGTGATATCGTTTAAACTCTAACGTACAAACATGCTGAGTTCACATTGAGCATGTCGACGGCAACTTGTAATGAGGGATTACACCTGCTTTTTGCGGTTCGATGAACCATTAATTTTTTATAAACCCCAGGCCGGTAGGTAACATATATTGAAATTATTGTACAATTCAATTTTAACTGAGGTAATTCAAGGCTGCTATATGCCTATAATATAATCTAAATTTCGTCATTTAAATTAAACCACTTTCTACAAATGCAGATGCTTTACAAAATTTACAGTTTTCCTGTTCGTTTGCTATCTTATATCACATGCACTGATGCACAATACTCTTAATAAAATTGCCTGCGTGATATTAATATACTAATTAATACTTAAAAGAGATTAATATTAGAATATGAATCAATATTCCTTTGCTATTGCAGGGCAGATAACTGTAATAATATTTCCTAATATACGTAGTAAATAATAATTGAAGAATTTTACTATTTTCTGGCTGCCTTCGTTTATTAAATTTTCGCATTTTTATCAATTTATATATTTAAAGCTTCCACACCGAAGTTACAGGTAATCTGACGTAGGGAGCAGGTATATATATGCCACAACCTCACGAAAATGAAACCGATCCTACATTTATGAAGAGTTACAAATTGAAACTGTCTTCTACAAAATCCAAATGATATTGTAAAACTCATTAATACTTCATGAAGAAAATTCAAAAGAAATCAATGTTTAATGAGGTGTTTCATCCACATATATTAATTCTCCTGATTTCCATAAATTGTTTCCGCGATTTTTTCAGTCAAAATCACTTTCTTTTTAATATAATTTAAAACACAACTGTTGAAATCCTTATACGTTTCACAAGCTATATACAGCTATTTCAATTAAGGTTGTCCCCCGAGCAAAGCGGAAAAGTCGAATATACGAGCGCGAAAGGCTGCTGGGAATCGCTATGAAAATTCATTATTTTTTTAGGGATTCCCAGCAGCCTTTCGCGCTCGTATTCGACTCATTTTTCCGCTTTGCTCGTGGACAACCCTAATTGAAATAGCTGTATACAGCACTGATTCGCGTTTGTGTTGAATAGACCTTTCCCCTTACAACCAAAATTTTGATCTAGGCAACTCTAGACAAATATTTCATCACAGCTTGAAAGAGCATCACAAAATTAGTAATATTCCAAAGTTTCGTTGCGAAATGTTGTAAAATGAGGAAAATAGAGCCTTGCGAAGTTTGCTATTTTCAGTCCGATTTTGCATTACAAACGGGAAATTGCAGACCCAACACCCGAATCGTATGTCAATTTCCCGTTTGTAATACAAAATGACTGAAAAACGGCAAACTTCGCAAAGCTATATTATCCGCATTTTACAAGATTTTGCAACAAAACTTTGCCAATATTACTAATTTTGTGATGCTCTTTCAAGCTGTGATGAAATTTTTGTCTAGATCGAAATTTTAGTTATAAGGGGAAAGGTCCATTAGACGTCGTACGACCTTCAGCCTTTGGCTCCAGTTCAGTTGCATATCTGCATGATACAACATCTTTAAGAGGAGAATCTTCTGTATGTTATGCAACACGCCTCAAAACTAATGAATGTACCTTTCCCCTTAGTTATGACTATATTAAATTGTAGTTAAATTTAGTTTCTGCATGAAGCGGCAAACAAACTTAAAAAGCATGTTTAGTGGTGCTTTATAGTGTAAAATGATGCTAAAATGAAGAGATTTTAGTTCAGTAGGTCTTGCTTATATTGCTGTATAAACTGATGGCGTCAATTTTACAGCATCAATGATAATTGTATTTACATTGACAGTATTTAACTATTATTTTGTGTTTCTCAACCGCCAGATACGTCAGTTAATTAAAAAGGTTGCTAATTGTGTAAACTTTGAAAATTAAGCTTATATATATATAAGTAATTTTGAGAGGCTCGCCAAAAAATTTTAGGTTTTGAACACTTTTCCTTGCAAATACGCCGCATAGAAAGACTGCCTCTTAAACAGTTCAAGATTAATATCGTCATATAGAATTATTCAGCATAAATAAAATTAGCTTACTTTACAAAGAAATATTTTCATGCGCTCAAAAAAGCAATTATATACAAATTAAGACCCACATAAAACAATAAAAATATAACGAAAAACAATCTGTCAAAAACTTTGGCCGTGTATTGCCAATCTTTTTGTACTTTATCAACCAAATCGTTCTCTTCCATGTGCGACGTAAGAAGCTGTAGCTTGCTCATTAGCATAATATCCGTGGCATGTCGCCGCCTCGGGACGCCGCACGCCGGAATGGACGAATCAGCGAACGGAACGGAAAGTCTATGTTCATCATCCGGTAACATTTTATCAACCAACAGTTGATTCTTTTCCGGCTTTTGTGGTTTTGATGAGGCTCTCATGCAAAATAGGAAAGCAAGAACGTTGCGCAAGTTCACGAGGTAGCAGGGGACTGGTTCCGAGTTCGATCCGTGATGGATTTGAAGAATGAACGCGGTTGCGAGGAGAATCATGAACGTCCCGCAACAGATCACGCTGAAGTAGCGAGTCAACAACGGTGTGGTATCGGAACTGACCGGTGTCTCCTCGTTGATGATAAGCATGAACACAGTAAGCCCAAGTAAAACTGAAATGACGAGCGAAACGCGTTCCCCCGAACCGGCCGGGAATAGAAACGAAATCGAGGCCAGCAGCGATAGTATTACACAAGGGAGCACTATGGTCACAACGTAGAACCAAGGCTTTCGTCTAAAATGCAGGGTGAAGGTGATATCTGTATACACCTCGGGACAACAGGGGTACTTTACTTCGTTTCTAGTCGCATTAGCGGACACGAGTTCCCATTCCGTATGAGCGCTGTATTGCGCTAAGTTAGGTTGTTTGCCGTTATCGGCTGCGAGGCGTAGGTCAAGTTCAGCACTATTTAGAGTCCACGAGCCTATTTTCAATGTACATTTCTGATCGTCTACTGGAAAGCCAGAAATATCCAGTTTACATGTGGTTTTCAAATTGGCGTAAGTGAGCCACGTGACCGATCCGTTACAGGATATCATAGCTTTAGTTAGGTAGCTGTAGATATTGCCTCCATCTTTATGGACACTGGAATGAAAATAAAATCGAATTACTTTTCCCAATGGACCTTTCCCATTATAACTAAAATTTCGATCTAGACAAAAATTTCATCACAGCTTGAAAGAGCATCACAAAATTAGTAATATTCCAAAGTTTTGTTGCAAAATCTTGTAAAATGCGGATAATATAGCCAATTGCGAAGTTTGCCGTTTTTCAGTCATTTTGTATTACAAACGGGAAATTGACATCCGATTCGGGTGTTGGGGCTGCAATTTCCCGTTTGTAATGCAAAATGACTGAAAATTGCAAACTTCGCAAGGCTCTATTTTTCTCATTCAGTTACAACATTTCGCAACGAAACTTTGGAATATTACTAATTTTGTGATGCTCTTTCAAGCTGTGATGAAATATTTGTCTAGACTTGCCTAGATCAAAATTTTGGTTATAAGGGGAAAGGTCTATTGATGATCCCGGTAATAGACGAAATTTTGATCCAGACAATTATTAAGAGAACGAAATCCAACACGACAGCTAGCTAGAAAGAGTATCTTATAGAATGAGTAAAACTGCAAAGTTTGGTTGCGAATTGTTGTAAAATGAGGAAATATATAGCCCTGTGAAGTTCTCAAATTTTGTATATATTTGCATTACGCGCGGGAAAAATAACCATTTTTGAGCCGAAAGTGGTTATTTTTACCGCGCATAATACAAATATACTTACAAAATTTGCGAACTTCACAGGGCTATATTTTCTTCATTTCACAACATTTAGCAACCAATCTTTGCAGTTTTACTCATTCTAAGACGCTCTTTCCAGCTGTGGTGTTGTATTTCGTTCTTCTTGCCTTGATCAAAATTTAGTCTGTAGCAATCCGAATCACCCGGCATTAAATCTGGGTTGAAAATTGTTTATACGCAAACGTTATTTTCTATTGGAAATTTTTATACAAATCGTTTAACAGATTATACTTAATTGCATATTAAATATATTTAAACATTATAGCGAGCTTAAATTAAACAACCCGCGGAAGTCACTCGAAAATTTGTATGACTAATTTTGGCGGTGTTTTGCGGCATGATATAGCGCCGCTCGTATAAAAACGTCGCTTACTTACTTGAGGGTCCTGAAGGGGTAAAATGGGAACTGGGATTGATCTATTTTTAGACTTGGAAAATGGGATTTGGGTTGCTAGGACTGGGATTTGGCCACTGGGAATGGGAAATGAAGTCCTCAAAAATGGGAATGGGATTGAAGTAATGTGAGTCGATTCCCAATTTTGATCCGCTTTTGGTGTCTTTGGTCATGATTTTTGTTGTTGTATTATTCACAGCACTACCTGCGAACAGGCATGCTCTGGCGCCCAGAATTCTGGGTTTTCTGATTATGCGTGTCTCAGAATGCTGTAAATGCCATTTCCGGGATTCAAATTTGGAAATTTTCCGTGCCTTCGGCACAAGCCCCCCCCCCAATATTTCATAAAGTGTCTGCCACTTGCACACACGGTGGCTTAAAAAGTCTTAAAACTGTTTATTCTACCGATAAATAAAGGGTTGTTTATTGACTGGGATTTCAATAACTCGGACTGAGATTTCTAATAAAAATCCAACCGGGACTGGAATTTTGCCAAAATTTCAGGTGGGAAATGAGATTGGGCCCCCCCCCCCCCCCCCTTCAGGACCCTCTTACTTAGGACATTGGCAATAAAAAATTATTTTGTCTCATTCAAAAGAACTCTTAAAATTATATATTAAACTCTATTACCGTTCTCGAAGTATTTAGACCGAAATTAATGAGCTGTCCGCCATCTTGGTCTAATTCCTGACCTCTTTAATTAACTGTGGTTTTGATGACGTCAGGAGTTGGGTTAACCATATAAAACTATTCTAAAATGACCGAGTAACAATCCAGAATTGTTTGAAATGTTTTTAATAATCATTTCTAAATTTCAGACAGCAAGCAGAAACGAAATTTTGGACCCATATTGATCGCTAAATTAGCGTGACCCCTCTCTTGACGTAACATGCATATCCTCAATAATCCAAGGTGGCGAACAGCTCACTTTTTTCAGTCGAAATATTTTGAAAACTAAGCAAGATTTAAACATTCTGTAATAGAGTTTAATATATAGTTTTAAGAGTTCTTTCAAATGAGCTAAACTATTTTTTACTGCCAATTATGTCCTTTAAGCTCGCCATTACCTATTGTATAAAGTTAGATCTGGTGTCCAAATACGGGTCGGATCGAGTCGGATAACTTTTACTCCCCCGTATTCTTCTTTCTTCCATTGCAGCGAAACATCTTTCCATTTCTGGCAAGAAATCAAGATTAAAATCTTTGCAAATCAAATGTCTGTTTTGTTCCTTCAAGCAGCATATGTGGCGGCGTGCTCACCACGGTTGCCTTTCAAGCTGGCGGAGGAGCCGTGTTAATCCTTAATTGGTTGGACCTCTACTCAAGATCTTAAAATAACTGAGGAGAAAGCTACCTTTACGTTGACATCAGTAAATGGAATTAGACTTTTGCGTCTTCTCGCGGATAAGGACGTTCAGTTCAATCGTAGGCACCTCAGGGATCTCCTATCAATTGGCCTATACTAACGCCCGTATTCTAAAAGCTCACTCACATGCACTCAATGAGTGGAGGTTCAATCTGAACTTTTCTTCAGTGTCAGTGCTGTTTTTGAATAGCTGGAGAGTGAGTAGTCACATAGTAAGGTACGATACTAACCCTCCAGCTATACAAAAACAGCACCGGCACTCAAGAGAAGCTCATATTGAACCTCCACTCATTGAGTCTGAGTGAGCTTTTAGAATACGGGCGTAATTCTCTAATCCATTGTTTCCAAATACAAGACTGTTTCTACAGGAAATGTGTCTTTAAAAATATAAATAAAAATACTTACAATTCTGAATCGTGTATTAGAAGTCATTTGCTGCTTAGGTTCATCCTAAAAAAATAAATAGGGAACTGAATGTTTTACGGATACTTACTTTTAAAATATAAAATAATCAAGAGAAGGTCAGACTTTATATTCCAGAAAAAAGTTTTAATTTTACGTACAATTTCCTTCAGTTCCTTATAGATCATCTGAAGTTCAACCCTGACGGAGTCGGACTGATTTCTCACCGGTCTGGCATCTGGGTCGTAGCGGTCCTTTAACAAGTCTCGAATCAACCTTGTCTCGTTAAGGACATCACAACACCCTGAGTTTGACAAAACATATATATGAGTTGAATATACTCATGACTAGAATCAGTAGAATGTCAAAGGTAGTCAAAATAGTCAACATGACAGCCTGATCCCTTGATCTGTTTTATAGTTGTCTGTTATCAAATACAAAACTGCCACGACAAAGAAGCCAGTCAACATTATTCTCTTATTCTGATAGCTTCTAGTTGATCAACATCTGCCATACTGCGATAGTGTATAAAATGTCAAAGGATGAACGCCTCGAATGAGTCCTAAACTAAAATTGACCGCCTGCGTGGATGCCAAATCCTCATGAGTTGCGTCATGGCGGTTAATCAGGCCTGCACTCGACAGTATTTGCGCCTGCTTTATTGACATAAACGCCATCGGCATAAATACATATAACCTAAACACTCATACCTGAAGAAATACCCAAAATGATCATGACAACGAGTGGAATTAGAACTGATATTTTGACCTGCATTGCAGACATCTTCCCAACAATTGTAGAATCTACATGCATAATCTATAGTGCCTTTCGAAAGATTTAAATCTATGAATTTTCCATTCTTTTTCATATTTGATTCATTACGAAACAGATAAAATCTTGTGATTCCGAAGATATCACAAACCTCATTAATATATCTGTGTACAAATAATGTCTCGGTAGAATGCGAATGTCGCAAATGAGGCTACTGTTTTGGCCAGCCACGTTGTTTTAGCCAACATCGGATCATTTGGACCATAATGACTATAATTAAATACCTATTAGGTCAAAACTCTTTAATTTGCATTTGCTAACTAGCTCTATCGATTTTTTGCTATTTCAATTTTTATAATTCCTCGTTTTTTATTTCTTTTGTGGTTTTTGGTTGTCCCTCTATGTGATTAGAGGTTCCACTCTAACACGTTCGTTCCCCAGATCTGTACGTGACCTATCGTTCTGAGGCTGTATTTGATCCCATAAGTTGAATCTTATCATTGTTAACTTAACCTTTCTTTCGGTAGCAGAATAAAAATCAACACGACTTTGCTGAATAGCGTCTTATCTGTTCAATTCATCATGCAGTACAAGGCTGTCTCGTTCTGGGCGGTCAAACAAATATTTATAGCTTAGCAAGCAACGTTTTTTGTCAACACGTACGTCAGCCAGATTGCCGGAAAGGGGCTGGAAAAGCTGGAAATATGTTTGTGACAGTTTGTGACTTCAACACATATGACAAAACATCAGTAAGATTCACCAGCGCACGAGTGTTATGATGCAAAACGTACCAATTTTCGGGTTCTGTTACGTGTTTGCGCTCGTCTGACCGGCGTAACGTACGTCTATAAAACTAAAACGTCACGTAAATATCAACTATAATACTTATATATATTTCATATATTAAGTTCCTCAGAATAATCCGTTTCTCTGTGACCATTCACCGAAGATTACTTGAAACTACATCATATTATCCCCGCAATAATTAGTTCGTTTTTTGTTAAAATGTAAACATATGACCTATGGGCTAGCGCTAACCACATGCACTGGCATCAAAAGATATTTTTCCGTTATATGATGCAAGTTGCAAGACTACAAATTCACCTGTCTGCTTGTTAGGAAATTTTCTCGTCAAAAATAAATCTTCCAAAACTGTAAGAGTTATATTGACTTAAAATACAAAACAAACGAACAGATTACAGAAGCCCGGCCACGGTCTGTGCTGAAGAATCAACAGTCACCAAATTTAGATTACCTGTAAATTATAATCCATTTTTTATCATTATGCAATGCTAAAGGTAATTTCATGCACAGACATGCACTTACCATAGGTAACAGAATACGCCAACAATGTCCAGATTATTTGCGCTTTTAGTAAAACAGTTGATATCATTTTTTACTGCATAAAACCAACTGAGTTAAGACGCAAAACATCAGGCTTAGAACTGAACAGCAACGCAGTTTCAAACACGCACAGTTAAACGCACAGGTGTACACTGTGTATGCATTGTATTGAACTTCGATACAATACGCTGTCCCTTAGTTTAAATCGGGATTACGTGCCAAGAAAATTAAAATGCAGTTAGCGAATGCCGGTGATAAGCTTAATTCGTATTGTATGGACTTTGTAAGCTTGTTGTGCCTGAATAAAAGAGTCATAAAGTGGGGGGCCTTTGTAACCTTTGTGGGTTATAAATGCAATTGGCAGGCTCCCAAGAGCTAAGATGGACATTTTGTTTTGCACTGTCATTAGAAAGGGTCGGTATAGTTATTAAAAAATTCTGAAAATGACTGAAGTCATTGCTCAACGTCTGAACATTTTTGTTCAAGTGTAAAGAGGTCAAAGTAACAAGTGAATAACAACATTGTTTACGATTACATGTTGCTGTTTCTCGTTACCGTTGTTTGTGTCTGAAGACTGAACTATCTAAAAAAGATTAAAAATACATTTTGAGGGAAGGTTCGACGTCAGCTAGGGGACTCAGGTGTGTTTTGCCAGACTATTTATTGAAATGAATGATGACGGATAGCAGACGTCAATATATAAATAAAGAGGTTTCAGACTTTCAGCATCAATCTATATTCAACAATAACAGATACTATTACTGGTGAAAACCGGCTTCTGAATGGTGTCATGAATTGTGCGAAATCAGTCCAGATTACCCATCAATATAATGGAATTTATGCCATACATCATGCATGTATGACTCCCCAGCAACCTCGTAGCCAGGGTCTTACCCTGTCTCCCCAGACGCATTTTTAGGATTTTTCCATCAATTGCAACTGAGTAAGTTTCAAGCTTCAAACAATTCACTAATTTCGCTTCAATTGCGTGTGAAAAGACTGCTTTAAGTGATCCAATTTGATTCTACGAATTTGATTCTTCGATTCTAGACGCTCCGGTTTCTCGGTAAGATTAGACCTCATAGATCTATCCATCATCAGAAAATAAAATTATGTATTATAAAATAATAAAGGTATTGCAGTTTACGTTTCCCTCTGTAGTGACACCAAACAAATAAAAGACTGGACCTTACACGAACTGTTAGGCCTATTGAGGGTCGCAAAGAACTCTGGTATAGTCAACATGTCACCATAATCTCATTATGGCGGATTTATTATTCGTACACATTGTGGACCTATATTTTGACGAGTATTTATGCTAGTGTATACTACTTAGTGTATACTACTAGTAGGTACTAGTGCAAAACTTTGAACATAGTTATACTTTGCTGAGAAGTATATCATTATTTATTTTTTTACAAAAGGATACCATTCAGTTGTCACACATGTCCTTTAACCACTTCTGTGACATGAGTTTGAATAACTGCTTGGGCAATTTTATGCATTCTAAAGTTTCATGTTGTCTGCACATGTACTTTAAACATACATGTGCATTGTTGTACATGTACTGCACATGTATTTTTTACCGGTATAAAACCAACTATAAATCATTATTATTATCATTATTAGTTAATCATTATCATTACTTTATTGGTATATAAATCATTAAACAAGGCTGGGTACCCAAGTACATAAGTGACTTGTTTGTCTTAAAGTCATCAGTGACAAAACGAATTACAAGAAGCTCAGAGAACAACGAACTGTGGATACCGCGAACGAAACTAACAATTAGGCAGAACACGTTGAAATTCAGTGGTGCAACATTATATAACAGTTTACCACGTGCGACCAGACAATCAACGTCATTAAGCTCCTTTAAAATAAGAGCCTATATCAATACTTTTAGATACTTATATATAAGTTATTTGTTTGTACGACTTTTAGGGACTGGTCATTATTTATGGTGGGGGGTGGCACCGAAGAGAAATGTTTTTCGTGGCAAAAATTTTGCTGACCCAACTATTAAAAAGACAAAAATTTGATTACCCAACCTCAAATATCAATTAAAAAATAATTACCCACCCCTGGCCAAAAACGTTACAAAAAGATACCATTCAGTTGTCACACATATTTGATAACGGTTTGTGAAATTTTCTGCAGTCTAAAGTTTCATGTTGTCTGCACATGTACTTTCTTTGGAAACACCATTTGTTTTGTCAAAATGATCAAGATAGTGACTCTGATTGATTCACATATTGTATTGACAAATGAATGTTGACATTGCTTTTCAGTCAACAATATTTTGACAGTGAGTCATGTTTTTGAAATGACAATAATTTTTTATTACCCAACCATTGAGTTGTTTTGTTTTTCATTTACCCAACCGTTTACTTACTCAAAATTTTGTTTACCCAACCCTTTTCTCTTCGGTGCCACCCCCCACCATAAATAATGACCACTCCCTTATATGTGCTTGTTGTACTGATGTCCAATTTAATGTGTAGTTTTAATAGTAAATTTGTAATAAGTAGACGATAACAGTTGAACAGAAGGCCCAGTGTAAGATTAGCGTTGCTAAACTGGTTTTTGTATAATTGCATCTTCTTTAAATAAAGTTTATTATTAACACTGCACATGTACTTTAAAAATACATGTGCATTCTAAAGTTTCATGTTGTCTGCACATGTACTGCAAATCGGAAAATGATCAAAACAGTGACTCTGATTGACTCACATATTGTATTGACATATGACTGCTTTTTAGTCTTTAATATTTGAGTGAGTCATGCTTTGGAAATGACAATAAATTTTTATTACCCAAACCTTGAGTTATTTTGTTTTTCATTTACCCAATCTTTTACTCACTCAAAATTTTGTTTACCCAACCCTTTTCTCTTCGGTGCCACCCCCCCCCCCGACATAAATAATGACAGCCCTAAATAATCTAGATTTTGTTTTGGTTTAATTTGGCAAATAGTAACCAAAGCAAATCCACGTAGTTTCCACGAATGAGAGTAGCTCATGTTATATCCAGTTAAATACTAGAATTTTGCAAGTATGGTATTTTTTAAAACCTGAACATTGCCTGGATATATCAAACGTATTCATAAAATTTTTAAAAATATATGTAAAGAACTTTACGAAAGTAAACAGAGCATTAAAATAGATAAAAATCATCATAATTTAGCCAATTCAATGGTACATTCGAGCACCACACGCGGGATACATCCTCGCGTCCCGCGTGATTTTTTAAAAAACTGCGGCAACAACTCTTCACAGCAACAGATCAGAAGCCTTCGTTGAAATTTAGTGTTTTTTTGCACCGTTTTATGTTTTTTCTCGTTGTGAATTGAATATAATCTAGTCTGGTGTGAGATCTAGCGTTGTGTTGTCGTTATGTCAAGTTTTAAAGCAAAATATGGCGTATTTTGAGGGAAAAACTCAGAGCAAAGTCAGCGACTTTTTGGTATACTTTTGCAGAACATGGTGTTGATATTAATAGAGTGCAAGACAGCGAACATCAAAGATATGATCAAAGCTTTCTATCGTAGTCCGTAGTAGAAGGTATTACATTCATTGGTGTGTATAATCTCGTGTGTTATATTAACGGTTGTGTTTTTTATATTGTATTTATACTGTATGTAGAGTTTTAAGAACAGATGGTGTTCAGCATATTAAATAGGTCAACTGTTGACAATTATGTGGAAAATAATACTGACCTAAGGGCTACTTGTGTTTTATCAGGAAGGTATAAAATTTGGGCCGGATTGCTAGTCAGACCATACAGACCTGACCGTAACCCCCGAGTCTCGGCGTCTAACCCCAGATCTAACCCAGACCGGAGGCAGACTAACAATCTTGTCTGACTTTTATACCTGCCTGTTCTATCATTTCCTAACTAAAGTTTAGGGCACGAAGTAACGGCCGATCAACGATTAATGACTGGCAGAAAATTGCTTTTGATTGGCAGAGAAACAAGGTTGCCGATCATCTTGATCAGCAAGAACCATTGTCTCAAAAACACAGTTAATGTTGTTAATGAACACCATGCAATACTACGGCATTATCACAGAACATGTAAACAGAACGTATCCAATACTGATTGGCCAGATTTTCATTTGATCAGCAGAAAATCATGACTGCTGAATACCATGACCGGGAACGTTGGAAACGTTATTTCGAGCACTGAAAGTGGATGTTTTTGAATTTTAGATCACAATATGGCCTCAGAACATAACTCTCGCAGTTATGAGAGAAGTGAAACTAATAATATTATTGAGATTCATAGTAGTGATGAAACGTTAAGCATCCATCCAAGTGCCAGCCAATATGAGCAGGGTATGTCAACACTTTTGTTTTTAAAAATAAACTAAACTTAAATATTTTAGATGCAAATACAGTACAACCTCTATCAGTTCTAAACTGTTCTACATAGATGCCCAGTACGAATCATGTCTTTAAGTTCAGTTCTTAGACATTTACTATGCTTTTTATATTTCACTGATGCATGCTAATTAATTGTAAAACTATTAATTCTATATTTATAATAATTTTATAACTAGAAATAGAATCGTTGAAACTAAAGCTTTCTCGACTTGAAGAAGCCACGGCAGAAAAAATGAAACTCTACAATGAAGAGGTAAATTAGGCCAAAATTTTCCTTTTTTATGCATTGGATTAAGGATTTTGCTTTTTATTATCAATGCTCTTTGCCTAAATGGGTTGTTCTAGAAAATATTAACCCTGCCCCCAAGGAGGAAATTTCTGCAACCTCGAGAAAAATTTGTTTCTGATCAAAGATACAGTAGCAACCGTTTTAGGACACAGTGGTGGATCCAGCAAAGTTTTTTTTTGGGGGGTGCTAACCAATGGCGAATCGAGCGCTGAAGGCGCAAGATTTCTATGGCGGTCCTGGGGCATACAACCCCCGGAAAAATTTTAAAATTTGGGTCTCTGAAATGGCATTTCCAGCATTCTGAGAAAACATTCTGGAAAATTTTTAGATTCTCAAAACATTTCAAAATTCAGAATATTTAATATTGGCTATTCCGCTATTGTCAACTAGTGATACCCAACTGAATTCCTTAACATAAGTTGGTTAGAATTAGGATAAACGTCATTTTTGCACCCTCCCCCATGCACCCCTGTTGACCAGAGCCTGGGGGGGGGGTGCATGCACCCCCCCGCACACACACACCCCTGCACCCCCTAAATCCACCACTGTTAGGACATCTGAAGGGAGTACTCCAACAGTAGAGGGGTTAATTTCCAATTTGCTCTGTGTGGATGTTTTCTGGAATTGCCAAACATCAGGACATCCACAGCCAACTGCAAACTTAAAGTTTATTTAATATGTTATTCTCGACAATATTTTTTCACCCAGTTGATGATTTATCATGATACCGGTATCTTAAATTTACTTATGTAGAGAAGCAGTCTTGAGACTAACATTGTCAGATTACGAGCACAAGTTGAACGAGGCGAGACAACTCGTCAGAATTTGGAATACGAGCTGACCTTGGCGAAGAAAGCGACAAACCAAGTCAGAAGAATTGCCGCGGAGAAAGAAGTAGAGACGACCAATAATGTTGCGTTGTTGAAAGATCATCTGTCAGAAACAAAGATCAGGCTAGCTGGCGTCGAACAAGAACTGGCAAATACAAAGAACATCAGAAAGAATGAAACTGGTCAATGGAAGAAACATCTGCAGACGAAGGTGAATTTTACCTATACTATGTGGGCATGAATCTTTTTCTAGATGTAAAGCCCAATAAATTTGCACTACACAACTTTTGCCTAAAACTGTTGCATGCAAGTCCTTGCTTACAACTTAATAAATATGTGCAATTTCTAGGATGTAGAACTTGATAAAATGGCAGCCAAGCTTGAAGCATCACAAAAAGAATCTCAAAGACTCAATCAAATATTACAAGAACAACAAAAGTAAGAATCAATAGCGCCAGTGTAATATGTTACACCTACATGTTAAATTAGTAATATTCCAAAGTTTCGTTGCGAAATGTTGTAAAATGCGGATAATATAGCCTTGCGAAATTTGCAATTTTCAGTCATTTTTTATTACAAACGGGAAATTGACAGCCCAATCGGGTGTTGGGGCATCAATTTCCCGTTTGTAATACAAAATGACTGAAAATTGCAAACTTCGCAAGGCTATATTATCCGCATTTTACAACATTTCGCAACAAAACTTTGGAATATTACTAATTCTGTGATGCTCTTTCAAGCTGTGATGAAATTTCGGTCTAGATCAAAATTTAGTCTATAAATAATGCAAATGGTCCATTCATGTTCTCGTTTGACCGGGGGCCATTACATTTAATGTACCCCCCCCCCCCATGGACGAGTTCAATAATATTTGAACCCCTAAGATAAAAAGATCAAAGTGCTGACACAAACACCCCCCCAGAAATTAAGAAATTTTTGCCTAACCCCTCAGAAAAAACGCAAAGATCAAAGGATGCCGGTGCACACAACCCCTCAGAAATTCTCGTCCATGGGTGTATATTAAATGGAGCGATTGCAAGAAGCGTATGATATTGTTTACGCAAATTTTGTTGTATTACTTTGTAGTTCCATGGTGGAAATGCAAGAAAGATGTTCGTCTTTGGAAGGTACGCAACAGAACATTTTTGTTATCTGCTCAGTATCGAGTGATTTGAAACAATAAGCTTCTTCAATGGACCATTTGCATTATAGACTAAATTTTGATCTAGACAAAAATTTCATCACAGCTTGAAAGAGCATCACAAAATTAGTAATATTCCAAAGTTTCGTTGCGAAATGTTGTAAAATGCGGATAATATAGCCATGCGAAGTTTGCCGTTTTTCAGTCATTTTGTATTACGCACGGGAAATTGACAGCCCAATCGGGTGTTGGGGCCGTTTGTAATACAAAATGACTGAAAATTGCAAATTTCGCAAGGCTATATTATCCGCATTTTACAACATTTCGCAACGAAACTTTGGAGTATTACTAATTTTGTGATGCTCTTTCAAGCTGTGATGAAATTTTTGTCTAGATCAAAATTTAGTCTGTAATGCAAATGGTCCATTAATGAATGTAATTTGTGTGCACACCATATTTTGTTATTTTTGGTATTTTGTTATTGTTGATTTCCATCACTATCCAGCGCAACGACAAAGTCAGAACAACACATTACGTCATCAAGCCAAAGATCTGGAGTTCAGCGTTGAACGAGAGGAAAGACTCAAGAAAGAGTTAGAGGTACTGCTGAGTACTGAAATATCCCTATATATCACTAGAAAACTACATTTGCCGCTCTGGGGCAGGTTGTACTCATGAAGACCAGATAGTATTTTTTTCAAGCGTTGGAAAAAATACTTGAAACGCTAGAAAACTACAGATATATGGAACCGACAATAGGTAATTCCAACTGTAGACTAAATTTTGATCAAGGCAAGAAGAACGAAATCCAACACCACAGCTAGAAAGAGCGTCTTAGAATGAGTAACACGACAAAGATTGGTTGCTAAACGTTGTAAAATGAAGAAAGTATAGCCCTGTGAAGTTCGCAAATTTTGTATATATTTGTACTACGCGCGGTAAAAATAACCACTTTCGGCTCAAAAATGGTTATTTTTCCCGCGCGTAACACAAATATATACAAAATTTGCAAACTTCACAGGACTTACGCCCGTATTCTAAAAGCTCACTCACACTCAATGAGTGGAGGTTCAATATGAGCTTCTCTTGAGTGTCAATGCTGTTTTTGAATAGCGGGAGGGTGAGTAGTCACATAGTAAGGTATGACACTGGCTCTCTAGCTATTCAAAAACAGCAATGGGACTCGAGAGAAGCTCATATTGAACCTCCACTCATTGAGTATAAATGTGAGTGAGCTTTTAGAATACGGGCGTATATTTTCCTCATTTTACAACAATTCACAACCAAACTTTGCAATTTTACTCATTTTAAGATGTTCTTTCCAGCTATGGTAATGGATTTCGTTCTTCTTGCCTAGATTAAAATTTTGTTTATAGCTGGAATTAGCCATTCGTAAAGAAAAACTTTAATTCATAAAGATTTTAGAGTGCATGAAAAGATGTTATATTTTCTGATCAGTAATGTACAGTGCCGTTGTTCAAAATTGTGTTAACAGGGTTTATTTTAAGAAAAATTTACAACTGCACATATAGGGATGTTACGAAGGCAACAGGGGGGTCGAAGGATTTTTTACCTGCATATAGGTGACAGAATAATGGTGTGGTTGGGTGGGAGAATTGGAGAAAGGCCACACAAACTCGATTTTGGGTGCGGGAGCTAGGGAGTGTTCCCCAAAATAATTTGAATCTAGAGGCTCTTAGTTCTGCCAAAGATTTGTTTACCCAACCACTCACTTGGGGAGCTCGCTGGCCCCAATTTTAGCTTCTTTTCCATTACCCCAGCATGTAAGTGATTTGTGAGAAACATAGGAGGGTCTGGAGTCCTCCCCCAGAAAACGTTTATATTTTTGATGCTCAATTAATGACAGCATTTCTGGAATTTTCTGGAGCATCCACAAGGGTAACGAGTAAATGAGAAGACTGTTTTAATTAAGGCTATTTTTAGTTTGGTGACTGCACATTTGTGTTTTAAGAACTGCACAAATGGGTTTAGAACTGCACATTTTGTGTAGAACTGCACGTTAAAATAGACCCTGATTGTGTACAATGGGCGCAACATGGTAACATACTGTCGTCTGTAGAGCCATGCATTTCTTACACACATAAGCGTACGAGGCGGGGAGTTGCAGATGCCCCCTCCCCCTCTCTCAACAAAATTGAAGCTGGGCAAATTATAAACTGCAAGAAATGTGTAATATTGCAAATAAACTCTTCGAAAATTTTCGCACATCGACAAGGATTGTTGAAATTTAGCATTGAGAATTTTTTTTTTATAAGTCGATCAAAATGGAAAAAAAAGTCGGGCAAATTTCTTTCTGGCCCCCCAATTTTTTCTCTCCCATACGACTTCTATCGATTTTTCAACTTTGGCGATGCATGAAAATTTTTAAGTTTTCAATTGGTTCCTTTCAGCAAGCTCGTGAAAGATTAAAGAATTTGGAGGAACATGTCGAGGCTGAAAGAGCGTCACATTTGGAAACGAAGTTTAATTCTGAAATTGTTCAGGTACCACCAGAAAAGGAATGATATTGATGAATATTGTTGGTGATAACTTTAATTAGTGTTTATTTGTGGGCTTATTTTGTAGTTACGTGTTCGTGAGGTAGAAACAGACCTCGAAGCGAAGACATCTTCATTAAACGAGGCATTGACGACTATGGAGACTTTGACGGAACAAAACAGGTTGATTTTGTTGTTGTTGTTGTTGTTGCTGTTGTTGTTGTTGTTGCTGTTGCTGTTGTTGTTGTTGTTGTTGTTGTTGTTGTTGTTGTTGTTGCTGTTGCTGTTGCTGTTGCTGTTGCTGTTGCTGTTGCTGTTGCTGTTGCTGTTGCTGTTGCTGTTGCTGTTGCTGTTGCTGTTGCTGCTGCTG